ATGTCACTTTCTCATTTGATCCTTTTTTAAATGATGCTGTGAGATAGTAATCATTACTCTGCTATTGTTGGTCAAGGACACGGAGGTGGTTTAGGTGGCCCAAGTGAAAAGAAATAGTTCCTGGCAGTTAAAATACTAGTGAGCACTTGTCAAAATTTGATTTATCTCATTTCATGGAGCCAGAAAGATGATAAAACTGGTTTAAAAGTTGGATAAGGAAAACATATGCATGTATTTTTTAAATAATGAAAAAATGAATGTTGAGATAAGATCACTAAGTTTGATATAAAACTGGTTAATATCATTTTAGGGGAAATGAAACCATAACCTTTGGAGTTATCTTTTCTACTGGGTAGAAATCATATGCATCTCTATTATACCTCATTAGCGTTTTACAAGTTAACGTCTCAAAGCTACACCTTCTCCCCATCCCCCCCACCCACCCCACAGAGTCCAAAGACCCTTAGCCTGGTCTCTCAAGCCTACCAGCTCCATGAAATTGAAAGCAACCGTGGTCATCTTTTGCCTCATTTCTAGGGTTTCAAAGGACAGTCATCTAGAGAGTAGTGCAGCTGGTACTCAAACCAAAGCTTTCTGAGCCTAGACTTTCCCTCTGTGCTGTGCTGGTATCATCTTCAGGTTTAGAAGGGTGATTAAGAGCCTAGAAATGAGAAAAAGAATTTAAAATGTTAACATTGATCCAGTGGAGTAGGAGAATTCTCAGGGCCGGAAAATGGATCACCTGGAAAAACTATTAAAAATACAGATTTTTGGGGCGCCTGGGTGGCTCAGTTGGTTAAGTGTCTGCCTTCAGCTCAGGTCATGATCCCACAGGGTCCTGGGATCGAGTCCTAGCCAGGCTCCCTGCTCAGTGGGGAATCTGCTTCTCCTTCTGCCCGCCCCCCCCCGCCCCGCTCATGCTCACTCTCTCTCTTTCAAATAAATAAATAAAATTTTTAAAAAAATAAAAATAAATAAAAATACAGATTTCTTAGTCCTTCTCTAGAGAATATAATCCTCAGTGGGGCTGGGATGGGGCCTGGGATTTTATATTTTTTCACAGTGTTTCTGGGTGTTGTGCAGTTACTGGGCTAAGTCCCATGACGATGGCGTTGAGAGTATGAGCAAGAAATGACAGAGGCTTTGCATTATCATCAGCACGTGTGGGCAGGGTGAAGATCCTCCAGGGAAAATGAGAGGGGCCAGCAAGGCTGTACCTCCCCAGGCATCACCAGTGTTTAAGTGCCAAGATACTCTTGAAAGACCTAGATGGAGCAAGCTCTGGAGGAAGGAGGTGTCCGTAAAAATCGCCACTGTGGGATGAGCTAAGTAATGTTGAGCTGTGCTGAGCATGGCTGTATAGGTTGTTTTTCAAGGTGGTTTAGAAATTGTTACCACTTTGTCTTCACCAGGTGCTTATCTCAAGCAGAGGAAGGAGGGTTGAGCTCAGAGAAGATGTTTGTTTGAGCCCTGCTGCTTCTCCCCCCAGAGGGAGTTTTAGAGATTGAAGTTTAGAGAGGCGTTTGAAATGTGCCTGATAGCAAATAGTCCTTAAAGGGATTGTTCTGGTTTTGAAGGTGCTGAACGTTAGGGAAGAGGGGTCAGGGCTGTTTCGGACTGCAGTGTGCTTTTGGGGTCCAGCTGCACCTACACCCAGGGCCCGGGCTGCCACGAGGCAACTCTGTTGTCTTTCCCTGGAGAGCAACCTTATGTCTAGTATTTGGGGGGCAGCTTCTCAGCTTCTTCTCCCAGGTGGGATTCAGAAGATGCAGGTTTTGCTGGAGGACGTTGGGGTCTGAGCAACCTTGGTTTTGCCCAAAGTGAGCATTTCCATGCTGCCTGCTATTAGCATTGGGATACCGTCTCTGCCTGCCTTGTGGGCTTGTGAGCCTGGAGGGTGTATGCATGGAGGCGGGGGAGCATTTCATAGAAACTGCTTTTCCATCAAAGCCAGAAAAAGGAGGGGGTGGGGTGGGAAATCTTGGACAGTCCTTCTCCCTTCCTGGAGGCACATCACTCACAACTTGTTTCCTGAAAATCCTAATACACTCCAGTGGTGAGAGATGGCTTCCTGCTGATCTGCTGAGCCAGCCCCTTGTCAGGGAGGAGATGAGAACAAGATGTGACTGAAAAGGGGCAGATGGGCCAAGCTGGGCTGCTCAGTGGCCCCCTCTCTGAGTCCCGACAGCACTACCAGCGTACCACATGGACACATAGGCATCTGTGGGCCTGGTTTGGGCAGTGGGGAGGATTTGAAAGTGGTGTTTTGTCTCACGGTAAAATTGCACGGGTGGTGGTGATGAAACACGACCCTTCCTTTTGCTTCTGGAAAAAAGGACCTTCCTGGCCAACATCTGCAACCCCACTTGGGGAAAGGGTTGTTGTTTCAAAAAACTCGCCCTGAAGTTCTTATGTATTCATCCTCTTTCTCCTGCCAAGTGCTTTGCTTACCCATATTTTTCTCTGCATATATGCACATCTAATAGCTCATGACATTTTTGAGACATCCTGTATGTCCTCAAGGCTACTATCATTACCATCAAATTGTGGTTTGTACTACTGGTTCCTGGAAGTGAAGCTTCCACTTTTTAAGAAAACAGAACAGAAGAGTGCTTAAGTAATATGGTCAGGGCCAACAGACTGGGGTCTGAAACCTGGCCCTGACATTGTGCCAGGAGAACTTGGACAAGTTAAATGTCTGAGTTCCCATGGTCCTCAATTACACAATGGGGAAAGGATTAGGACCTAACTCAGAGGTGTGTTGTACATAGGTGTGTTAAATGGTTTAACACATAAATATGTGTGAACTGTTTTGATGAAACTTTTCTGGGTTTTTCAAGTTGAGAATGATCCAGGATGTGGTAGAGGCAGGAAGGTGATGGGGAGGGAGTGAGACACTGATATCTCTGAGGTGTGCTGCCTACCTTAAAAGTAACACACTAACTTGTGGTTTAGGGTGGTGGTTCAGCATCAAAATCACTTAGTTATTACAATGGATGGTTGAATTTCTGTCTGCCCCAGTACTTCTGGGGTGGGGCCCAATGATCTCATTTTTAACTAATTCCTAGGTGCTGCTGCTGGTCCTGAAATGGCAGTTAGGTAGAAAAGGAAGCAGATTGTTCCATGTGGATTCAAAAGACAGAATGAGGCCAGTGGGTGCCAGTTACAGAGAGGTTCAATGTAAGAACTTTTTCTAACTACTAAATGTGTTCCAAAATGGAGTGGGTGGTCTCATGAGCTGTGTCACTGGAGATGTCCTATACTGAATGGCCATCTGGCAGATTCCTATACAAGGTAGAAGGTTCATCCATCCATTCATCCATACATCCATCCATCCATCCATCCATCCACTTATTCACAGAATAAACATATATTGCCTGCCTGGGAGGTGCTGGGAGGTAAGGAGGAGTCTTGAACAAAGCACCTGTGCCCTTGTTCTTAGGGAGCCCACAGTCTAGTGAGTTTGGCTAATTGATTACAAAAGTCCCTTTTAACCCTGAGGCTCTGAGAGTCCTATGATGAGATCCTCAGAATAAGAAGCTATATAGGAAGATGCTTACCCTTTTGAAGACATGGCCAGGGACTGACAAGAATGTGGACCGCCTCTGAGGTTCAGTCTGGAATGTTCTCTTTGGAGCATCTTGATGTCACTGAATGAATGATTCCCCCCCACCCCAAGACTCAAAAAGAGGTTAAGAATGTATTTGCCAGGAGTGCATTTCCTGTGGGAAAATTCAGATCTCCCACTGGCACTGGGATAGACCATTAAACTCTGAACCCATGACTAGCTGTCCATAATGTTGTCTATGAAAGCAGACCCAGGAAATGGGGCTGCAGGGATGAGCTAATTGCTTTTTCACTTCTCTCAAGTGATCAACTGGAGCATTAATGGCTGGGGAGAGTTAGGGGAAAATAGGTAGATTCCATCTCTTTTTCTGGGTTCTTCCATCATAATCCCTGGGGAAAGCAATGATGATGATTGCTGACCTTTACTAAGTTCACTCTGTGATGCCAGGCCTGGTGTTAAGCCCTTTTCATGCATTTCCACTTAATTCTTTTTTTGTTAGATTCCCATTTTTTCTTCTCTTAGGGACCTTAAACATCTTTTTGCCCCAGGACCTCAACTTTCTATAGATGCATTTTGCTTTTAATGTGGTTGAGCTAGTTGAAACATCCATTTGGCTCTTTTAATTTTCTTTTAACTTTTAGAGAAATTCTAGGAACCTTGTTTGGTGTTGCCTTGCCTTTGGTGCGGGATTCTTAGCCTCAGCCTCAAGGGGTCTGTGGCAAGAGAGAAACCAATGTCCAATTTTAGAAAAGAAAAGAAAAAACGAATTTATTTTAAGGGTAACACATAGAACTACCAGGTCTCAGGAAATCTGAACCACTAGGTCTCAGAAAAGGCAGGCAAATGCCATGCCAGGAATCCATGCAGCAAGAAGTTCATCCATCAGATGAACAGATGAATTGCTCCCATCTGTTCCGTTTTTGCAACATCACTCCATTGGCTTAGCTTGGATCATGGGCCACCCTTGGCCAGGGCCAGGTGGGACACCTTGATTGACAATCTCACCAAAACATGCAACAGGAAAGAGGGTTTCCCTTAAAGAAAAACTGGCATGCTGATACTGAAAGTTGGTGGATGCCGTGCTAACATTATCAATGTAGGTATGAAATAGAGTCCATAGACCTTGGGAAATTCTGAGTATGTGTTTGCATGTGTATATTCCTAGGACCCAGAAAAAGTTGCAACCACTGCTTTAGTTTTGTCTACTTCACCTGGTTGTGTCCAAATGAAGTGATGAATCCACTGAATACAAAATTAATCAACTTCCTCCCGGTTTTCTTTTTGTTCCTTAGGCCCTTATGGCGGCTTATTTTCTTCTGCGCGGAGATGGTTGGGTGGTTCTTCCTGGGTCGTTTAGAATGACTGGCTACTGTTTCCAGGAGGGTGGAGGCCATCACCTAAAGAGACAAATGCCTGTGGTTATTCTTTGCAGGAACCTTTTTGCTCCAGCCTACACAGAAACCCATTATACTCCAAGTGGCAACCCTCAAACCACCACGCTGAAATCTGAGGTAAGTTCAGGTCAACAGAGATCTACAGTTGGCCTATCCTGGTCCCACCGCTGGGGAGTGAGGAGATATATGGTGGAGACAGTCCCCCCTCTGAAGGGATTGTTTGCCCTGACCCAAGACCAAGGGCATGAATTTGTTGTTTCATAAGGGTGCCCTCTCCTCTGCTGGCTAAAATGGTCAGACAAACAGTATTTTAGGTAATTGCATCTGATTAAAATTGGTATAAGTCATTACAAAGCATACATTTTCTTTGATGGCTGTTAATCACCCACGTATTATTAAAAGTTTAAGTGAAAGAAATGAATTACTGGTAATCTTGCCATTTTGCTTAATTAAGATATTTAATTGATCCTTTTCCATATAGATGCATAAGGTTTTGTAGTCTGCCTTTTTAATGTGATTTTAGGTTATACAGATTTTCTTGTTTTGCAGCCATCTTCATATTGGATATTTTTTCCCTCAAAGGTGTTTTTGATTTTGGATATTTGCACAGTGACTTGTCGTTTAAAAAATGGTCTTTCAGGGGCGCCTGGGTGGCTCAGTTGGTTAAGCATCCAACTCTTGATTTCAGCTCAGGTTGTGATCTCAGGGTCGTGAGATCGAGCCCTGCATCCCGCTCTGCACTCAGCTTGGAGTCTGCTTATCCCTCCCCCTCCTCCTGCTTGCAAGCACACTCTCTCTCTCAAATAAATAAAATCTTAAAAAAAAAAAAACAAAAACGGTCTTTTAAATGGTTTGTCAGATGGATTCTTTTTAGTGTGCTTCACCACACCCCACTGGTGGGCATTTAAGGTAGTGAATTGTACCCATTTCATGGTTTGCTGACTTTTCCTACTGGGGGACCTGTTAGCTTTAGTGGGACCAGAACATTGGTCCTCAGCTAGGAGTGATTTTGCTTAAGTCATTTCTTTTACTTAAACTTTTGTTAACGTGTGGGTAACTACCATAATGCAAAGAAAATATGTGTCATGATATATCAATTTTAATCAGCTTCAGTTACCCTAAAATATTCTATTTGTTTGACCATTTCAGCCAGCAAAGGAGGGGACACTTGGCAGTGTCTGGAGACAGTTTTGACTGTCACAACTGGGAGGTGGATGCTACTGGCATCTAGTGGGTAGAAGGGAGGGACGCTGCTAAGTGTCCTACAGTGCATAAGGCGGCCCCTCCACAACGGAGAATTATCTGGCCCCAAATGTCAGCAGTGCCCAAGATGAGAAAATCTGGATGAGAGTGATCCTTCTCAGACTGCGCAGATGAGATGGGGTGAAGGGGGGTAGATGGACTCCAGCGGAAGCAGCAGTGGTCTTCTGCCTTTGGGGCAGGACATCATGGACGTTGGTGGCATGCAGATGGGGAAGTGTGGTGGTGTACGGGGCTGCAGGATAGGTCCCTCTGCCTCAGTGCTCCTCTGGCAGCTTCGCGTGGGATTGGAGATTCCTCCATGGCCCATCTTTAAAATATCCCTGCTAGAGTGCAGGTGGCCAAAAGGCAAATGACAGCCACTCTCCGGCAGTAAAAGCTCAGGTTCGTTTATCAGATTCGCCTTGAATGGGGAAAGGGACCCAGGACCGCTAAGTTTTGATAGCTCTGAGAGGTCTGGAGCATAGTAATCTGGTAGCTGAGGAGCTGTGTTCCATCAGTGCTGGCTTCTTCACCAAGGCCTTTTTGGAGGGGGGAGGAGCAGGAGTGTGGCCAGTACCCACAGCAGGCAAGGTGGGCATGTCTTATCGCTGGGGAGGCTATTCAGCCGTGGCTCCACACCTTCATCAGTGCCCCTTGGTCGAAACTTCTCCATCATCGAGACCTCCAGGGAGAGGTGCAGGCATGCCTTGAAAGCCCCAGCACCTCACAAAGCACTGTCCTCTGAGTTTGGCTCTTGCACTTCTCCACCCGAAGCTCAAGAAAGGGTCTCAGTGCACAAGTTTGCCATGAGCTCATACTTCCTGCTGTGAAAGCCCCCTTGGGTGGCCCGCTCAGGCCGAGAAGCTGAGAAGGAATGCGATGACTTCATGACTGTTCATTTACTTGTTCTTTGTGCTCTCAGCGTTAGGCAGAGATGCTGTGAGGGCCTTTCAGAAACAAAGGAGTGGAAGAGAACTTCCCCTCACCCCCAGAACACCCCTCCTTCCTGAAGGTCTTATTGACCGAAGCACATCCTAGCTGCAGCATGGGACAACCCATTCTTGTCATACATCCCCTCCTATTGGACTCTTGCAAAGCCCCCACCCAGCCTCATGGAGCTCCTACTCAGCTTTCTTATCTGGGAGCTGAGGACTTCAAAAAGAACCTAGAATAGAATACACCATTTAGCTGTGCCTGACCCAAACGTGGAGGGCCACGCCCTACTGTCAGCCTTGGCTGGAGGTCCTGGGAACTTGGGGAACCATCAGACTCATCCGCTGGGCATGTAAGAGTTATAGATTTGGGGTCTGAGGCCAGGCTTGTAGACTTGGCTTTAACTAGCTATGTGACTTTAACCAACCCTTTTGACCCCACTGGTGTTGAGTTTCTTCATCAGAAAATTGGATATATTAAGATCTGAGAGCTCAGAGATCTCTGAGCTATAGAAGGGTAAGATGAATCACCGATTTTGTGGGAATTTATAAACATCTCTCCCAGCGCCACATTTTACTCATGGGGAAATTGAGAGAAGAGACAAAGTAACATGTTAATGTTCAGATAACCAGTGAGTGGCAATGCTTAGACTAGAATTAAGTCCCTGGTGGTGCCAGAAGAGACTAGGGCTATGGTCAGTTCAGTCCTGCACACTTTCCTGGGGCTGCTTTTGCTTGGAGAGGTTGTCAAGTCTTGGGTCAGGCTGCCCTGGTTCCAGTCTCCATCTGGCTGTGTGACCTTGTGACTGGAAACCTCTCCCGCCTTTAATTTCCTTTAAAAAAAAAGGGGGGGGGGGAGTTAAAATACCTACCTCATAAAGCTGTCAGAATTAAAGGAAAAAAATCTCCATTAGTTTTTTATCCAGTAGTCAGGGCTGGATGGATGTTAGTTAGCCCTCATTGTTTACAACAGTAAATGGCAGGTATCATTAGCACAGGCGATGATATTGTGAAAGCCCTTGGTCAATTTAAAGCATGTTACAAAAGTCCGTTGTTATGCTATTTCAGAGAGCACTCAGTGAACACTGTTAACATCAGCCCAAAGATGGGAAGAGGTCCAGGGATTCTTCACACCCATCCCTGGATTTGAATTCTCTTGATTTGTAGAGGTACCCAGATTTTTGAAACGGCAGCTGATGCTCCTTTCTGAGCTTTTTGACTCTCTGTCATTCCAACATCTGCGAGTCACATTTACCCTATACGGGCCTGGCCCCCTCTTCCCCCTGTGAATGATCCCGGGTTGTGGAGCTGATGGCCCCATGGCTGGGTATTTGATGATGCATCTCCAAGTTTGGAATCCAGGGGGAGGGGGCAAACCATGTGACAGGCTGGCATCAGCAAGCAGATGGAATCCTGGCTGGAAGGAGGGTTGTGCCTGCCTCACCTTCCTTCATAGGTGCCGACTCAGCGGCTTTCCTCTGTGCTCCTCTGAAGGTTGGGATCTGGCTTGTTTGAAGTCCAGGAGAGTTTGATGCAAAGAGAGCGGCCGCTGCCTGCCCTCCTCCTGACTGCCTGAGCTTGAATGGGTGGAGGAGCCGAGCCACACAGCTGGCCAGCGCTTTGTCGCCAGGAGAAAGGGCACCAGTGGTCTGGACACTGACCCTGAGCTGAGAGCGGGCCTGGCCCGTAGTCTGTGATCTGGCTGCGGGCTCGGCTGCATAGGACACAGACCTGGTGTGGGACGACTGAGGATTCAGGCCCTTGGTGGGCTTCCAGCTCCCTCGAGGCCACATTCTGCCTTTGACAAGGACTCTTTAATGCCTGTATCATGATCACTAAGGTTTATTGCCGGCCACTCTGGGCCAAGTACCCTGTGCCAGGTCCTTGACGTATGAGTATTCTCACAACTACCTCGTGAAGTAGAGACCGAAGATGCTGGAGGTCTGAAAGAGGTTGTGGAACTGTTTCCATTGCTGGCAGGTGTGGGAGCTTGCATGTAAATCTGGGCTGGCCACACCAAAATCCCTGAATTTAATCACCAGGCCATACCCCTGCCTGGAGCTGGGCGGGAGACAGGGCCCGAGAATACGGACAAATGGGTTTGCTGTCTCCTGGGTCACATCCCTGCCGGCTGGGGATCGAGGAATAACCGCAAGCAAGCATGGTCCTAGTGATGGATCGCTGGGACTGTTTTGTAGGCAGATGCCTGAGATTTCTGGTTGGCCCTGCCCGGGCTTTGGGAGGGAGAGATAAAGCTCCCGTGTCTGTAGCTGCATAGCTCAGACCCTTCCTAACACCTTTGCAGAACCTGGCTCTGCCCTGGGGATTTTTCCTTCTCTCTGCTCTAAGCAGCTGAGCTCCCTTGAACCGTTTGGGGAGAAGTTCGTAGGAGTGTGCCCTTGTGTGTGTTGGGGACAGTCCTGGGCTGTGCCCATCTGTCTGGTTGGTGCTTCAGTGCTTCCAGCTGTGTCCTGGGTGGCCTCTTAGATGCTCTGGTTCCCCTACTTGTAATACACCCTGCTGGCCCCTCCAACTTTTATTTCGAGCCTCTCTTCAGAGTTTGTAATTAAAGCTCTATATGGCTTTTTAATTAAGATTGGCTCTTGAAAGACGCTAAGTCCCAGGAAGGCTGGAACTGTGCCTGTTCGCTCCTTGTCGTGTCTCCCGGGCCCAGCCGGGGCCCTGGCCCGGAGCAGTGCTCGGCAGCTGCTTGTAGTCACGAGGAATCCAGCCAGGTCAGGAAGACCAGATGGCTGTGAGACGCGCCGATGTGAGAACAGCATCAGAATTCCATGCGTCCGTGGATGCAGGTGCCACATTGGGTCTGATCCAGACACGCAGGGATTCAGGGGAGGTGGGGAAGTGGGGGAGTTCTCCATTTGCCAGGGCTGCTGTCGCAAAGCACTGTGAACTTGAGGGTATAAAACACAGTTCCGGAGGCTGGAGTCCAAAATCAAGGTGTCAGCAGAGCCAGGCTTCCTCTGTGGTCTCTAGGGAAGGATGGTTCCTTGCGTCTTCCAGCTTCTGGTGGCTCCTGGCAGTCTGTGGTACTTCTTGGCTTGTAGTTGCATCACCCTAATCTCTGCCTCCATCTTCAAATGGCCTCTTCTCCCACTCTCAGGCTCTCTGTGTCCTCCCCTCTTTTTCTAAGGACACTGGTCCAATATGACTTCCTCTTAAGGCCATCTGTAAAGACCCTATTCCAAATAAGATCACATTCTGAGGTTCTGGGAGGACACGCATCTCAACTCTGCAGCAGGTCACGGAGGTGACTCTAGCAGGAGGCAGGCTCTTCAGAAGCCAGTGCTGCCTGTGGCCACGTGTCATGGCAGGAGCCCTGAACTAGACCTGAAGTCCTGGCTTCCCTGACTAACAGGGAGACCTTCAACAAATCTTTCTGCTTCGCGGAATCTCGGCTGCTTCATCTGTTCACTGGGGATGATGACATCTGCTCTATCCCACCTCCCAGCACTATTATGAGGATCAAATAAAAGGGTGGCTTAGGAAGCTCTTTGCAGACTGTAAGTTAGGACGTATATAATCATCCCTGACCTTCATGAAACATGAGCTTTGCCATGCTTATCAATGTCCTTTCGCCTGACCACCTCCCTTTTCTTCTTGCTAGGACCACTGCTTTTACCATGGGACGGTGAGGAAGGCAGAGCAGTCCAGTGTGACACTCAGCACCTGCCGGGGAATGAGGTAAGAGGCCCTGTCAGCACAGGTTGGGGGGGGGAGGGGCGCCTGGCACTCTCCCCAGGCATGGAGTTTTTAGGACAAGCGGGGCTGGCCTTGGGCAGGGACCTTGAGAAGCTATCCATTGAGAGTGTATGCAAACCAGTTCTAAGAAGGCCTGAGCTTGGGAGAGGCAAGGGAAGTACCAGGTAATCCGCAAATTCACTGGCGTTGAGCTTTCTCTTTCTTGAGGAACTTGAGGTTTCATTATTATTTAGGTATGGGAAAGCCAGCAGATCAGGAGACGACTGCCATTGAAAAAATAGTTTATTGTACTCAAGATCCCAAGAGGAGGGGGCACACCACATAGGGAAGCATAGGGGTCAGTCAGGGGCCAGGTTGTGGGGGGTGAGGGGATGTGGGCAAGAGTGTTTGCTGTGGTTTCTACAGGAAGAAACAGGCAAGGCAGGGTGAGCTGGCTTTGTATTGGCCAGTTTGAAGTGGGATCTGGGGCACAGGGGCCGTTCCTAGTTGTCTGGCACCTGACCCTGGAGTGATCGGGGCAGGGGGACTGGCCGAGAGGGTGAGAGCTTGCATTTGAAAGTTGTTTACCGTCCCTCGGAATTGGCTAATCCTGAGAAGGGCAAGGCCCCAGCTGTCAAAGCATCGGAATATAGAAAATAAAAGTCATGGTTCAGACACTTGAAATGAGCGTGAGCCCTTACTCCCACTTCTCCTTTGCTCTCCTCTGGTAGGAGAACTAGTGGGCAGTAAAAAAGGAAATGGGCATTTAGTGAGAAGAGGAGGGAGGAAGGGAAGGGAGACGCAAGGTAGTTTTCAGGATGATAGGGGTGGTAGAGAATGTTAAGTGCTATGTTAGCTACAGCACTCTACAGATGTACAGGATTATTATCATCCTGTGACAGTGAAGCCATGCTAAGACTTCACCCAGGCTCATGTGCAAGGACAACGCTCCTTGTGCTGCAGATCCCATATGTTTGTTTACAAATTGGGCCATGTCTCCTCTCTAAGGCTTCGTGGTGTGTCTGCCGGAGGGAATTAGGCAGGAAACAAGCTTTGGCCGGGAGACCATAACCGTGGCTCCAAATCCCCTGCTCAGATGACCTGGTTGAGCCAAGCCAACTGGTCTCGCAGTGGTGTTTACAGGCCCAGCCACCACCACCTGCAGTCTGCAAGTAAACAATGTCTGTCCCAAGAAGGAAGAAAGGGGACATGCAGGTGTGACTTGTTTCTGCGTCTTCCTCTGTGTCCGTGGTCTGGAGCAGTGGGAACTTGGCTTGGCCTCTCGCAAATCATTCCCGCAGCCGTGCTGACAGGGGGAAACCGGGTGAGCCGGTTTTGTGTTTTGTGTTTTGCATGCTTCCCTCTGGTGCAGGTCTGCCTGTCTTACTTTCCCAGCCTTCTCACTACACACCGTAAGAGCTAAAGGGCATCTGTGGGCCCGGCTGGCGTAAGAGCCGGAGACGTATACCAGGTGTCTCATTCGGACCCTAGAGAAGGAGCAGCTGCAACAGACTTGAAACCCATGTAACCCTCAAGTCCCTCCCCAAGGCTCATAAAGCCATGCCTCAGTGGAATAATCTCCATAGTGATGGTTCTTCTCTCCGGGGAATGTGTTCCTTTGATTAGAGAAAATAGGTAGGATTTATACCGAATGGAATCTTCAGGCTGATAATACAAATACAGAGGAGTTCCCCTGAGTTTCCAGAGTTGCCAGATTGCTGAGGGGCCCCCTCTTCTCTCCAAAGCAGTGTTTGGGTGACTTTAATTGAAGCGGTAATACATGATCATAGTAAAAACAAATTCAAATAGTACAAAAGAGAGGGTACAATGAAAGATAGGGTTCTTTTTCTCACCCAGGATTTCCAGGCCTCCCCCCCCAGAGGCAGCCACTTTTACTGGTTTCTTGTTTATCCTCTTAGAAATATTTCTTGTGAAAAAAGAACATTGGTAGGTAATACCGTGTTTTATAATCCTATTTGGGCTGCTGACACCTTTGAGAATGGCATGGCAGCTATGGATATTTATAAAATACACCAGTAAAAAGATGTGGCATACCATTTCACTAGGGATGGTGGGTGTCCAGACCCCCCCCCAAGCCTGTCTCTGATCAACAACTCGTCATCTAAATGTCTACCTGACTTCTTGCATGCACAAATGCTTTGCAGGTATCAGTGTAATGAGAGATGGTTATTTGTGAGGAAATCTAGACCATACTGGGATGAAGCGAATGTGAGGGAACCTGTGGGTTCCAGGAGACATGGTGTGTGTGTATATATGTGTGTGTATATGTCCTAGCTCACTCTCTGCCAGCAAGAGAGGTATTGATTGCAGTAAAACAATTTTTTTTTTTACCTCACTGGTAAGTCATTTATTTTTTTAAAAAATGCTTATTAAAAATTATTGCATAACTAATGTGTTAAACATCCAAATAATCTTCAAGTGTCAAGTTAAAAGAAGTGAAAGTTCCTTATCCCCTCCCACCGTTCCAACCAATTGCATTCCCCATCTCTAATCACTGTTGGGGATATACGTAACGAAAAGACATAACTGTGTGTATGCATGGTGTTTCTTAATCCAAATAAGATTACCCGATACATAACATTCTGTAATTTTTTTCTCACTTAACATTATGTCTTAGGCACACATAGATCTATTTCATTCTTCAAACGGCTGCTTAGTGTCTTATCTACAAATGTCCGACAAATTTAATTACATAGAAGGTCTTTCAAGGATATACAATAAATCATCTGATAGCAGCTCTGTCCTCCAGACTCTGGGGCCCATGCTCACTGTGGTTATACCTGATTCCTCGCCCTGGGACTCTATGAGAGAGGGCGGGAGAGAGAACATGAGACTGAAAATGAATGCGGGAGAATGTGTAAGAATGTGTGCCGGATAGCCTGGAAGGAGCTCAGAATTTAGAGTAAAAGGACTTGCGTTTGAGACTCCACACCTCCTGGCAATATGATCTTTGAGCTTTGCTTTCCCTGAATCATTTTCTCCTTGTCTTTGCCTTGGCCGGACTGGCATCTCCCGTGGGCCTTTGTCTGTTTTGTAGACGGTGCTTGTGGTGCAGGGGCTTTGAGTGGGCCATGGGGGTGGGGCTGGGGTCAGGGCCGCACTGGGAAATGAGGAACCTGTTCACCAGAGGACTGGGATCTGCCACCAGCTCTAACATTAACTCACTGGGTGACCTTGCAGGTTCCTTTTCTCTGAGCTTTGGTTCTTCTCATCTAAAAAAGAAAATAGATCACATCACGGGAAGGACTATTGAGTGTTGGAAGTTCTGCACTGCAGAGAGTGTATGGTCCCAGAGAGGTGGGCGCCTGGGGCAGGAGGAGGTGGCTCATCCACCCACAGCAGGCCATCACCGAGGGAGGGGCATGGTCTTCTGCGTTTGAATACCTGGCCTTCCTTCTGAAGAACACATAATAAAGGCTGCCTCTGTGTTCCGGCACAGAGTAAGCCCGTGCAGGGCCATACCGCTAAGTCATGACGGGTGTAGATTCTGGAGACAAACCAGTCTTGGTCTAAAACCTAGCTCCCTAGCATCGGTTTTCTCACCTATAAAATGGAAACAGTCGTGACATCATTGGTGGATTTACATTAGGGCATGAGTGCAGTCTGTTGAGAGTAGGGACTCTTTTTGGTCATATTGCCTCCCCAGTGCCTAAAACAGTTCCTGGCACATAGTAGTTCCATCTATGTGTGCTGAATGGCTACTGAATGGTTCCCTATTACTTCAATTATCACAGCCACGTAGGCTGTGTGAGCTGGCCAGCATTATTGACTTAGCACAATGCTGGTAGACAACAGAGCCAGAATTCAAACCCAGGTATGTCTCCCTTCTGAGCTTATGCTCTCCACTTGTGCCTTGCCACCCCATTCCTGAGGGAGCACTTCACCTATGTGCCTTCTTCCTTCCGTGCTGCCTTTGATGCTCCCAGTACCTCTTTCTCATTGGATGCAGATTGGGGTGGGGGGGAGGGGCGGGAAAGAAGGGGAACAGGGTGGTTACCTCTTAGGGCAGCTCTGGATGTAGGGACGTGGGATGTGTCTCCTGAGGTTTAGCGCTGAATGGACACATTCCTAGGAAGCGCTTCTTGCCTAGGTCCTTCAAGGGTGCGTTTGGGTGAGTCCCATGGTCATTCAGGAGTTAAGCATGAATCACTTGCTGCTGCCTGCCTGTCCTGACCTCCCAGGGCTCCTCTGTATAATTTCATTTATATCAGGCTCTCAACAATGAGCAATAGGGTAGAGAGTGGAATGGAGAATAGCGTGTGAAGTCTCAGCCACCCAGCCTCCTGGGCCCCCCTCCCCTGCCCCCTGGCTGAGCTCCGCCAGTGCTTACATTTAGCAAATTAGATCAACTGAGGCTCTTGGAAAGATGAATGACCTGTGGGTGCTCAGGGGAGAGCAGCTAGCAGGATTTGGGGGTGGTGATAGGGCAGGGCCGCGGGAACTAGAGTCTAAGAAATCCTCTCCCACCCCCGACCATTGTCAAAGCTGGTGCTCACTGTAAAGTGCTGGGGCTTGTGGCAGCTTCTCCAAACCAGGCGGTCAGGGAGGATTGCAGCGGTGCCATGGGCGAGTTACCAGGGACCATAGTAGGGGGAGGGGAGGGGAGTGGCCACGAGTTCTCAGTGTCCTGCTGAGCCCTAATATCTGCCTGCTCTCTGAAACAGAATCATCTGGGCCTTTGTGAAAAGACAGGCTCCTGCCACTGAGCCTGGGCTCCAGGCCAGACTTCCTGACTGTGCCCGTGCAGGGAATTACCATGGGACTTGTTTACAGTGCAGATGCTCCAGCGCACAGAATCTGAGTCTCCTACATCTGTAGTGTTAACATACACTGCAGAATAGTCTAATAGGTAGCTCTGGGAGCTCTGATCCTGGAGATCTCTGACCCCTAAGTTTGGAACTCACTGATGGAGGCAGACGGCCCAGAGGTTGCCAGACCTTAAATCTTTGGCTCCAGATACCCATCACACCTTGTTATGCAACCTCTCTGGGGCTCAGTTTCCTCATCTATAAGATGGGACTCATGATGGTGCCTTATAACACTGAAAAAAGAAAAAAAAAGAATGACGATTGTAAGCACAGTGTTTGGCATATGGTTAACTCTCGAAAAATGGCCTCTAACAGTGAAAAGTAGGCTAAATGCCCCCTTTGTCTTCTTATCTGCCAGCAGACTGGTATCTTACTCCCCACAGGCCGATCACACCTCCGTGGGGAGTTACTGGTGCTTGTCAGCCGTAGCCGTCTGTGAACCGGGGATGTCTTTCTGGCCCACTCTGCAGCGCTGTTGTGACAGAGGCAGTGTGAGAACATGGTTAAGGTTGTGGGACCTGGAACCAGACTGCTTGAGTTCTTACTACCCATGTGACTTTGGATCCATTTATTAACCTCACCTAGCCTTAGTGCTCTTATTTGTACAATGGGGATCAGAAATGTTAGTGTGAAGAAGGAAATACTCAGCCCAGTGCCCGGGCCTCTACATAGCCACCATGATTACTCTTATTCACCATGGACCAAGCTCTGGCCTGATCTCTGCTCTGTTTGACCCAGAGGCTTGTTCAAGGGATGCCTGGTCAACTACACTGGAACCTTCACTGGTTCCTGTGTGGAACTTTCCACTCATTGGGTGTTATCTACGCAGCCACAACCCGATGGGCACAAAACCATCATCTGACTTGCTGTCAAGCCCTCTGTTTCCAGTGTTTGGGGCCACTGGGGGAAACTGAGGTCATGGGAGGGGCCTTGGTCCGCCAAGATGAGAAGAAAGCTTGGCAACAGGATGCCCGCGGTGGCTTTGCCCCCTGCCCTTTCCTGTCTGGACTCGAGAGCGGATGTGACCCTTGCTCTTTGCCCCACTCCCACCCCCAGCTGTTCAGGGAGCACCTTTGGTGTCCTGCTGAGGGGCTGGTCCCGGATTGCTGTGTCAGCCTGGGTGAGGCAGCCAGGAAGTCGTCTGGCTCCCTGGCACCGGAATGAAGTCAGCCAGGGATGGGTGCCAGGAAGGCTGCTGCTGATCAGAGCTTGGCGCTATCTCTCCCACAGGCATCAGGCTCTTCCCAAAGGGCAAAACCTGGGTGGGGATTTGAGGGGGTAGCGGGGGAGGTGGAAGCTGGGGCAGCCAGGGAGGGGTCCTGCCAGTTTAGAGTGAGAGAGACTGACTTGGAGATACTTTAGCTTTCGAACTTTCTGGACAGGTGAGGGCCCACGGCTTTGGAGCCCATGAGATGCTGCTGGTGCCCTGGGGTTTATTCCTGGGCTTCTTCCTCCCCCAGAACCCTGAGTGCATTCCTTTGCTACAATATTCATCTCACCATATCAAGGATGACAGATGCCTGCTCCATGGGCCTGTACTCACCCTTCCATGGATTATTTGTGACAGTGATCAGTAATAGGTCCTGGCACTCTTTCTTTTGGAAGCCTCATTGATGGGGTGCCCTGAGGCAACTGTGTCCAATCCATCAGTGTTAGAGGCGATGAAATCTTTTTGCTCTGTTATATACTCTAGTGATTTATTCCCAGGTTCAGAGTCGAAGCTCCATGGGGGCAGGCTCTTTGTCTGTCTTGTTCACTTCTCCATCCTCAGCAACTAGTTCGATGCCGGGCAGATAGCAGGAGCTCAGGAAATACTTGTGGAATGAATGACTGTCCCCCAATGAAGCTGTGAATTACTCGAGGACAGGGATGATGTCTAGATCACATCTAGTACAGATTAAGAGTTCAGTGTGTGAAAGAATATAATGAATGAACACATGTCCTTATTCTGAGGTCAGTGCTTGTATCTATAACCAAGAGCCAAGAGCAGGCACGCATCCTTGGTTGTGGACATCACTTCACTAAAGAGCGGCCTCATTGGGGCTAGTAGGAATGCCGTCAGTGATGCCTCTAGCTTTGGTTTCTTCTGTACACAAAAATTTTTCCATTTAATCATCTGAAGTCTTGTTAAATAAGTAAATTATCATTTGAATTTACACATGGGGAAACTGAGAGTTGGAGTGATTTTTTTTTTTTTTTAAGAGGTTCATTGAAGATCATTTGACAGCTTAACGTTGGAGTGAAGACCAGAACTTGGGTCTCCTCACCCCCAGGCCACTGTTTCCTTTCCAGTCACCAGACCATCATTTTCTGAGTCTCTAAGTTTCAACTTTTGATTTGTCATATGCCATGTTTGAGTTTGGGAGGCTTTTTGGAATCCTGGTCTTACCATCCTTTATATTATTAACCGTCCCTGGTGAGCCTTTTTAGAACCTTTGAGCTTCTTTGTAATAAGCTTTTAGTACCTGAAATTGTGTACCACCTTTCATATACATGTGCAGATTTCTCTGGAGAGGAAGTCTGAGTTTGCATCAGGTTCTTAACCAAAAGGTGCATGACCGCATAGTAAAGTTAAGAACCAATGATCAAAACCAACCATGTCATTTTTGCATATGGAGAAACTGAGGCCTGAGCAAGAGACTTTTCCAAGACTATAATCTTTGACCAGAGATTCTGTTTCTCCTGTTGACAGAGGACTGATTATGGTGAGCAGTAACCTCAGCTACATCATCGAGCCCCTGCCTGACAGCGAGGGCCTCCACCTTATTTACAGATCTGAACATCTCAAGCTGCCCCTGGGGAACTGTGGGGTCAAGTACTCCAAGTCCACTACCAGGGACTGGGTCCTTCATTTTACGAACCAGACCAAGAAACGACCTCGCAGGGTGAGTCTCAGTGCAGGAGTCCTTGAGGATCTTGAGGATCCTCTGAGGATCCTTGCTTTGGATCCAGGAGTATTTCCAAATTAAAGGAGATGGCCACGAAGGAGGAAATAACATTTCTCTTTTATTCTAAGTTACTATCTTGTTCACTGCTGTGTGAGATACCCTTGTATTGGATGGAATAACTGCTTTTGGGAAAAACACTATGACATTGAAAATACCCTGAGATGCTGATTTCAGAAACTTTAAAATGTGAGAAAAAAAATTATGCCTCCCCTTTTGGAATAACCACTTAACCATATGCACAAAATGCTAATATTTATGTATACTGAAAATAGAGGTATGTTGTTTCATTGCTTTTTGGGAACTTGATTGTCAGCATGTTCCCTCACAGTATGGTGGCCCCTGTACTTGCCCGCTCAGCTCATTATTTTTGAGTATAAAGGATTGGACTCATAGTCCCAGAGCAGCCCCAGCGATAACTAAGGTGGTGGGCGGAAGGTGTAGTGTGGATAATGCGGACTCTGGCCAGCATCAAGTGTAAAATCAGTAAGGAGGTCCGCTGCTTATTAACTAGCACCATTTCTTAGCAGTTGTTTCTTTTTAAAAAATGAGGCCACACCCACCATTTCTACAGCTCTGATCTGCTTATATCTCTTTCTTAGATGAAAAGGGAAGATTTACACTCCATGAAGTATGTGGAGCTTTACCTCGTGGCTGATTATGCAGAGGTAAGGGGGAGGCAATGGGTTTTAGTGGAAAAGCTACTCTCTCAATAGCTTCCACTCCAGGCTTCTAACCACGTTAGGTAAATACTGAGACATTCATCTTTCTCCAGTTTGTCATGTGATTTTGGCCTTAAATCTGACCAACGGCTGTTTTTGCTATTCTAAACATAGTTGGGAAAAAAAACAAGGAAAAAATCTCTTCTGGCTCAATACGTTAATCAGATAGAAAATCAGCAACTAGCGTTATTTGGATTAACATTTCTTAAACTGAGTCTGAAGACCTTTAGGTTTTGGTGCTTATTCTTAGGGAGCCCATAAATTCTCCATAGAAATTTCAAAAAAAATTTTTTTGCAAAGATAATAAGTATATTCTCAGTCATCTGATTGAATACAATTTCCCTGCCCATGTGTGGATCCATTTTTATAATCCCCTTGGTGCCAAATGAGAACCATGGTTCCCAAAGCATCAGCGGCACCTGGGAACTTACAAAGTATAAATTCTTAGGCCCCACCCCAGACCTGCTGAGTCCCAATCTGTGGGGCTGGGGTCCAGGAATCCCTGTTTTAACAAGCCCTCTGGGTGATTCTGGACACAGGCAAGTTTGAGAACTACTGACCTAAGGAATAGCTGTTTGCCCTTTAATTCTGTATTTCTTAAATCAGCCAGGTTCTCATGGGCCTTGGCTTCTAAGATTTGTGATGAACACTCATCTCTCTCACTCTTTCATTTGTTTATCAATGATATCTTGATTTTCTTGTATGTGTCAAGCACAGAGCTTGGCCCCAGGAGATTAAGACAGACCTGTCCCTGACATCAGAGTTTACAGTAGCAGCACAAATACTCAAGTGTGGTGACTGCCAAGATTGATCTTCATAGAAGATTAGAGCAAAGATCGTGAAAGGTCTGGCATGGTTTTGGGAATTGGGGAAAGCTCCAAGGGGATGATGTTGAAGCTGACACCTGAAGAGTGGGTTCAGGTCCCAAAGCTTAAACTAGCCATATTTCACCACCAGTCCTCACTTCATGTAGTGACTCAACCACAACAAAACACATCTGGGCAGGGGCAGTCACGATGAGCTGAGCACTCACCATGTTCTAACGCCACCGCCGCACCTGGGGCTCCCCTAGGACAGAACTCGTCAGGGCTCCATCTGTCTCATGCCCCATCCAGATGTTGCAGTTACCAGCTCCCCGAAAAGACCTCATCCCAAGGCGGCTTTACCTAGTCCACGGTCCCAAAGCACGCATTCTGGAGCAGTGCGGGTCGTGGAAAGAACACTAGGCTTCGGGCCGGAAGAGCTGCCTTCAAGAGTGTTAGTGGCAGTGGCAGGCGGCCTTGAGCTGCCTTAAGAGACAAGGAGTTGCTAACTGGGCAGAAAAGTGGAGGTGAAGGGCATTTCAGGCAGAGGGAACATCATGTTCTGCTTTGAGAAGAATTTAGCTTTGTAATTGATGTAGGTATTGGTTTTTCCAGCAGCCTTTCTTTCTCTCTCTCTCTCTTTTGTTTTCCTTTCGAAAGACTGGTGTATGTGTAGGATGGGGGAGCAGTGTGGGGAGAAAAATCTAAAGCTGATTTAAAAGCCGAGGTTCCATGGTCATGGGGAGAGGTAACGACGCTGGCCTCCGCCTGGCAGGACTGCCTTGTGGTGAGAGGGCCACTGGGAAAAAGCTGAGTTCCCCTGACTCCAGGACATTTTTACATTTAAGCTTTTGTTAGATGATCTAAGATCATCTCATACAGTGGTCTTGGACTTTCTTTTATGTATATATTTTAGCCACAGAATTGTTTGTTCAGATAAAGTTCCTAGGACCCCCAAAGCTCCTGCTCTAATGTAAAGGTGGGGTGATCCTCCCCTTTAGCCCTGCACTCTCCCCAGTGGCATCTTGCTGGAGGGTTCTAAAACCTACTGGGTGTGAAACTCTGGAAGCTGAAGTAGTGGGGGGGGCGGTTAGGGATTGGGCATCTTCAGTCTCATGACCTTCGGGGTCACAGCAGACTCCCAAGAGGAAAAGTGGCCCCCAAGGCGCCTCAAAGATGGTGGTGTGGTCTAGGACCATCTTCCTGTTCCCACAGAGAGAGCCTCCAGCACCAGCCCCATAGGCACTGCTGACAGGTTGTGATTCGTGCAGCCTGTGCATCAGGAATGTGCTCACTTCTCAGGGTCCTGGGCTTTGAATGATTCACTGGAAGGGGATGTAATCAGCCAGGCTGGGTGCACAGGGTGACGAATCCCCTCCTCCCCACACCATCTCTCCCTGACTCCCTCTTCAAGTGGCCTCTCATCCTCTGCAGGCAGAAATGTATTCCTGACAATTAATTAATCTGAGAGGTTGGGAAGATAGGGAGGGGGAGGGCTGCCTTATCTGTGATTTACAACCTGGTGCTGAGACAGGCCAGGCTCCTTCTCTGGGCTCTGAACTTGGTCCTGAAGGGAGCAGAGCCGCCGGGAGAGTGAGTTATTGTGGTAAAAATGACCATGCAGCTGCTCACTCCCTGGGCCTAGGTGGGAGGGCCCGGGGCAGCTCTCCGTTTATTCATTCCGCAGGTGAAGTGGGAAATCTAGGCAAGGAGAGAGCAAGACAGGATGTTGTAGGAGGATATGGGATAGTTGTAAAAACAGGCCTGCTGAATGCTGTCATGCTCCAGACAGAAAGTGGGGTAGTTGGCAAAGGCCAGATGATATACCACATTTTACTTCCTGTGTCACCCTAGAAAGTATAAGGTTGAAATATTTCTTTCTTTCATCAGGCATCTGCAAACTCTAGCCAATGGCCAAAGCCAGCCCACCACATGATTTTGTAAATAGAGTTCTATTGGCACAAATGCTTCCCGCTGTATGTGTTGTCCATGGCTGCTTTTGAGCTGCAGTGGCCGAGTGGAGTAGAGAGGACGCAGTATGTCTGCAAAGCCTCAAGTATTTGCAGTCTGGCCATTTATAGAAAGTTTGCTACTCCTGCTTGAGGCTGTTCTGGACACCGTGGTACATTACTTTATGGTGGTACTGTCAAGCAATTGTTTAAAGATAGGATTAATATATCTGAAAAACAGTGACCTCTGACTCTGATGTTCTAATAAATATTCAGTAAATGTTGCAACCCTTTCTCTGCAGTGAGACCAATTTAGAAATGGGACGACTCTATAGAGAGAAACTTCAGGATTCACAAGTCATAGGTCCAAGTCATAAGGCTTTGCATCAAACTGCGCTCTAGAAAGCAATGGGGAAGTGAGATGATTGACGGTTCCGAAGAAGCCCAGGAAGTCCAAAAGCAGTGGGAGATTAGAAACGGCGGTTTTCTTCCCTGTATCATGGCCAGCCACACCCTCATCCCAACAGATAGCCCAGGGTGTTTTATCTGGCTGTTCTTTGTGATTCTTGCTTGAATATTTTTGTGGGTTGGGATGGAGGAAGGATGTGAAGGGTTGGAATTGAAGAACCATATATAGTGTGTACAAGGTAAATCAGATGGGTACCCAGATTCTCTGTAACGATGGCAGCATCCCATCGACATGCCCATCATTTGCAAATTTAGGTTGCAGTTGTAGCAGATTTTATCTTTATACCGTGAAGCTTCCCTTCATTGTTGCACCTGAAAGAGTTGTATTCCCTTTCAGGCAGGAATGATCAATGCGAGGCTACATACTGAAATGTCTCCCCACCGGTACCCATGGCAGACATTTGTAATCGAGCACAGCACTCTTTCCTGCTGAACCCCACGGAGTTTCAGAATTCTTCTCACTGTAGAAGGCACTGCCAGTCGATCTGAGAGGCATGCCAGACAAAGCCTGTTTGCCAAGGTCTTACGGTCCTGGTTGCCAGCACCCAAGTGTGTCATTCATGTAGCCTCCCATTGCAGTTATTTATGTGCCCATTTTAATTGTGTATCCCTTAAATACAGAATCTGCCATTGTTATTATTTCTGGCTCTCTTTCTTTCTTTCTTTTTTTTTTTAAGATTATTTTAGAGAGTGAGAGTGCAAGTGAGCAGGGGGAGGGGGGAGGGAGAGGGAGAGAATTCCCGGCAGACTCCCTGCTGAGTGCAGAGCCTGATGCAGGGCTTGATCTCACAACCCTGAGATCATGACCTGAGTGGAAACCAAGAGGCAGATGCTCAACCGACTGAGTCACCCAGGAGCCCCTCTCTTTCTGTTTTAATGCAAGGTCCTCTGGGCCAGTACCAGGATCTCACACACTGTGTCCTACCTAGTGCCAAGCATAATGTTTTGCACATGGTAGACTATTAGCGGCAATTTGATCAATGTTGATTGATCACATGTAGGGAGGCCTCGTGAGATCCCTGTGATGATGGCTTCATGTTGGAGTGATGACCAATGCGAGGATCAGATTGGTCCCACTTCTAAGCCACAGTGAGAGTTTGCAGGAGACCTGGTAATTTGGAGGACAGGAGAGCAGGTTTGACTGCAAGGGCTGGAGGAAGAGAATTCAATTTCCTATACAACTATTACATGTCTACTGTGTTCTGGCATTGAACCGGCAGCTGGGGGTACCAGGATAAATGTGACTGAGGTTCTGCCCTCCCTGAGCTGACACCGTGGGGAGGGGATCGGGGGAGAGGAAATCGTATAAAAATAATTGCTCATAGAAGTCTGGAGAAAATAAAAGCTAATTGAAAGACAAGAAATGGGCCCCAGGAGGGGCCCAGGAAGGGGTTCTGGGGCCTCACCTTGCTCTGCTTGCTCCACTTAGTTTCAGAAGAATCGGCGAGACCAGGACGCCACCAAACACAAGCTCATGGAGATCGCCAATTATGTTGATAAGGTGAGACCAGGTGTGTACTTTGTGGGAAAGGTGCCAGCACCTTAGAGGGGCCACAGGACAGGCCATGGCATGGCACCTGAGCTTCCTCAGGGATTGGTCACCCAGCCAGTTTCGGCGAGGCAATAGCAATGCCACAGAGGCTCAGAGTGGTCATGACAAAGCCCTTAACTATGTGACCTTAGCCAGGGAACTTACCTTGTGTGGGTTGCAATTTTGTTTTGTTATGTTTTTAATTTACAAAGTAGAGGGGCTGGCTTAAATCAATGGCCTTCAATATTTTCATTTTTCTGGTGGAACCCTTCTTTTAAATGAAATCTTATGCCAATGTCTAATAAAGTCAGATAAAAACAGACTCTTTAAACCAAAGCAGGGGTGAGGATCCAGAGTGCTGTCCTCCTGTTCCTTCCCCTCACCCTTGCAAATGGCTGCCAGGGAACCTAGGACGTGGAAGAGCCCAGTTTAAGAATGCTTTGAGGTTCTCTAAGGTTCCCTCCAGGTATAAAGCCCAGTTTCCTGACTTGGGGGAGAATTGAGGAAGGTCAGCATGGGAAAGGTACAGAACCTAAAAGTTGAGTGGTTTGTTTTGGGCCAATCTGTATAGCCTTCATCTATAAAATGCTTCTAAAATTATTTATCTCTTACAAAGACCATGTGAATGGTTAACTTTCCTAGATCAGGCCCTTTTAAAACATGCCCTTAGGAAATAGCCAAATTCTTGAATTTTACCAGAACAGGCTGGTCTGGGACTTGGAAATACTCTGTTTATATGAAACAGAGTATTTGTTACACTGCAAAACGCAGTAGAATAGCTAACCTTAAATTACAGTACTCTCTTGATAGCCTAGTAGTAAATAGTTTTTAAAAATAGATTTTAATATGTTTCAGGTCACAGGTCTCTTTGAGAATCTGAAAATATTTATCGTACAATTTCAGGGCACTCACAGCACTTCTGCAGCTTACCTCTGGGCCTGTTAGGGATTCATGGATCCCAGGTCTAAAGGGGAAATTATTTTTTTCTAAACATTAGAAGATAAAGAAGAGACATTAAATATTTTTTTAGGGATTTACAAGCAAATTTGGTAGTGTTCTGAAGTCATCAGGCGGGAAGAGTCTGTAGTCTATGTTTTTGTTTTGCCCTAGATGGCTCTGGAAACACTGGTAACAGGTGAAAGTCATGAGCATTTCCTGGAAGGAAGGCCTCCAGGGACACAGCTCAGCCCTCTCTCTAGCTGTCAGTTCACTCAACAATAACATTTAAATGATCCTACATCCCAAACACTCAACATCTGGGAAAACAAGAAAAGCTCATTTCCTGGGGGGTATACAGGAGGCAGGCCGTGTTCTCACCCCCATGATGTCTATTGTTCTGGAGACCCAGCAGGTGGGAAGCTTGGCTGGGTCTCCCCTTTGTGAACTCTCCAGCTGGTCTGCGTGGTAGAACCAAGGGTGCTGACGAAAAGTGGAAGAGAGGCGACATTACGCCTCAGCCCTTATGCGAAGCCCCTAGCCGTGCTTAGCTGGTTCCTTCTGGTGAGCGGTCTTGGTTTTCTTCTGATTTTAGTCACTGTGGCTGGGGCGAAGGAAGGCACTTTTCTGAGGCTTGCTGACCCAGCTACTTGAACTGAACTGTTGTTGAACTAAAACTGAATGAACTGCACTAATTTGCTGAATCATGAATTCAATCCAAAAATATTTTTCCTTAACTGTGAAAAAGCCAAGTTTAAGTCCTTAAAAGCTCCCACATGAAGCAAGTTAAATTGGAATCCAAACCCTTTATTTTCTGTAATGATTGACCTGGCACAAAATGGGAAAATCAAAATTTCCTTTGCAATCAACTGTTATTTCACCGAATCTGGAGCCCATCTGAGACCGCAACTTCTTGGGGGCAAGATGATTCTCTAGATGTATAAATATGCAAGCACTGAAGCAGTGAGAGTCTTGAGTGGCTCTGAGATCTAATCTGATCATCTGGGCCTTAATCATGGCTCCACCGTCTTCCTGCTGAGACTTTAGGCAAGTTACTGAACTTTTCTAAGCTTCCGTGCTTGGGACATAGAATGTGCTCGATAAACATTGATGTTACGATTGTTGTTGTTAGCTGCTGCAGTACCTGCCAATTTTGGATTAAGATGGTATCTTCTGCTCATGTGACCTGGGTTTACGTGCAATTTTGTTTTCAGAGTCACTACCTCAGTAATCTCTAGCGTAGGCCGGTCAAAGAATCCCTTCAACCTGTGCCTTCCAGTGGTACTTAGCTTTAAAGAAAACCCTCTTCCTGTTTATGTGTGTATGAGATGAAAGATACCACATCACAAAGGTCAGGTGTAGCTCTAGTCTGAAGGAACCTGAGAGTCAGGCCTCATTTATAGAATCTCAGGATCTCTGGACAGAACTCTAGAGGGGATCTGGGACCTTTGCAGCCTCGTGCTGGCCACCTGTCTGTGACATTCGTGACAAAGCCTGAACACCTCCAGTGGTGGGAAAGGGAACTTTTTTTTTTTAAAGATTTTATTTATTTATTCATGAGAGACAGAGAGAGAGAGAGGCAGAGGCAGAGGGAGAAGCAGGCTCCCCGCCGAGCAGGGAGCCCGATGCGGGACTCGATCCCAGGACCCTGGGATCATGACCTGAGCCGAAGGCAGACGCTCAACCGACTGAGCCACCCAGGCGTCCCTGGAACTTTTGAGAATAAGCGTATCCGTCTACTTGTATATCATTTATACCCATTTACTTCCAAAATGAGTGGGAGACCTCACACAATAATGCATCCATTTACAATATGGCGTATCCATACTGCGAAATACTATTTAGCAATAAAAAGAATGACAAACTGATGTATAGGCCATGAGATGGATGAATCTCAAAAACATGCTAAGTGAAAGAAGCCAGACACAAAGACCACATATTATGTAATTCTGGTTAGAGGAAACGTCTAGAAAAGGTAAATCTGTAGAGGCAGAAAGTAGATTAGTGATCACCTGGGTCTGGGGGTGAAGATGGGAAAAGACTGTAAAGGGACATGAGGGACCTTCTTGGTATGATGAAAATACTCTCTAATTGGATTGGGGTGATCATTTTACATCTTGGTAAATTTACTAAAGATATTGAGCTGTACACCCCAAATGGGTGGATTTTATGGTATGTAAATTATACCTTAACATACAAGAGGAATTTTGTATGAGAGAACTTTTTAGACATGTATAAAAAAGATAAGTACCATGTAAGGAATTGGGAGACAGGACTGTCCCGGACAGCTGGGCCCAGGGTACTTATCACAGACAACAGCAAAGCTTTGCTCTGAGCTTACTTCTAACTAACTTTAGTTACAAGGGTGTTTTTTTTTTTTCCTATTTTAAAATGAAACGGATCTTTCTGTCTGTTGTACTTATTGGTCACGCCCCACTTAGGGAGCAGTTTAGAAACAGCACTGATGCTGTCTGCACACGAGAGCCTTGTCCACCTGCGGAAGCAAGTCTGTGTCCTGTCCTGGCTCAGGCTTCTTTCCTCTAAGCTGAATAACCCCAGCTCTGCCTCCAGAACATTGCACATCTTTCTCAGGATCTCACTGCTCCCTCCTGAAAAACGTGACTCGCAGCCCCTGTTGCCTCCCTGCCCTGGGAGGCATGTGCCGCAGAGCAATCTGGTATCTGCATCTAAACGTCGGGTGGTGTTGACAGACGATGCAGTGGCTCTCCTGTGTGCGCTTTCAGTTTTACCGATCCTTGAACATCCGGATTGCCCTTGTGGGCTTGGAAGTCTGGACACATGGGAATATGTGTGAAGTCTCGGAGAACCCCTACTCTACTCTCTGGTCATTTCTCAGTTGGAGGCGCAAGCTGCTCACCCAGAAGAACCATGACAACGCACAGTTAATCACGTACGTGGCCTTTGTGCATGTGTGTTTCCCTGGGCCTGGCTGCACAGCCCCCGCCTGCAGTGTGTGCACTCTCTGCCCTTTCCCCCCAGGGCTCAGTGTTGGTGGTACCAGCCATCCTGCCTCTCTGGTCCAGATAATCCCTTATTTCTCAGGCATGTGCTCTGCCCCCAAGACACCCAGGAAAGTATTAAAACCCTGAGAATCATAGACTCTCAGTCAACCCCAAGCAGTGCTGACAATCTAGATGAGAAACTTAGACTTACACATATTCCGTTGAACATCTGAAACAGTTGGGTGTGTATGTGGGAAGTGACTGACTGTCACTTCAGACTTTCTAAGGGGCTCATTTTTGGTCTTCATGGTGCCACGTTGTAGTACGCGTGCTCATCTCCCAAAGCAGCAGCTTACTTAGCTTGCCCTTCACTTTGTCCCCAGGGGCTCAGTGCTGAGTGCCTGAACTGGTTTGAGTGGCAGATAGTGCAGGAACCGTGTGTTGGCTGGGAGGGAGACATCGGGGGTGGGGGAAGTTGTGCCGGAATTTCTTCAATCCCGGAGAGAAAAGAATAGATAGTGTTGGGGGTCATGGTGGTACCTGAAGTCCCCCGGAGGTGGGGGGTGAATATTTGGTGTTTTTAGTGTTGACTTCCAAAGGTATTCTGAGACAGTTATAACGAAAGGCACATACATAGTAAATAAAACCATTTTCCTTTTGTTCCCTAAAAAATCTCTCTGAATCAACAATCAGTTAAACATTTGTTCACTCTTTAAAGGAAATGGGGAGGGGCGCCTGGGTGGCTCAGCTGGTTAAGCATCTGCCTTCAGCTCAGGCCCTGATCCCAGGGTCCTGGGATCGAGCCCCGCATCAGGCTCCCTGCTCAGTGGGGAGTCTGCTTCTCCCTGTCCCTCTTGCCTGCTGCTCCCTGTGCTTGTGCTCTCTCTCTCTCTGTCTCTATCAAATTAAAAAAAAAAAAAAACTTTAATAGAAGTGGGGAAATAACTGTACCAAAAATCTGGGCTATGGTTATTTCACAATGGTACATTCACCTAGGAAATTTTGGGGTTTTACCTGAACTTTGGAAGCCTGGTGTCCTGCTTTGGGCAAGACCTTGAATCCAGGTGTCCAGTAAGACTTCCCTAGGGCCATGTCTAAATTTATAAAATGACCTTTGGGGCTTCCTAGAGATTTGCATTTATTTTATGTGTTTTCTTGCAGATTGTTTCTCTGAAGAAGAATCTGCCTTCAATTCAGCAAACACTTATTAAGTGCCCTCTATGTGTCAGATTCTATGCTAAGTTCTGGTGACCCCCAAAGAAATAAGGCCATCTTGGCTCTCAAAGGTCTTGTGGTCTAGATGAGAAGACAAACAGGGAGCTATGAAAGCACCGCATAATGCATTTCCATGTAGATCCTTTCAATAAATCCCATGTTTGTGGCATGCAGGAGAATACTGGGTTTTAGTCATCCCCTCTCCTCTGCCCTGGTTGGATACAGCTGAGAGAGGGATGGATTGAACTGGGGGAATGTAGCTGGCTGTTGGCAGGTTTGCATCACAATTGCAAAACAAAAGCAGCAACAGCTCATCTTTGCACCCAGCTGCACTTTGTGAGGCTCCTGATGGGACACATCTGTTTCCTTGGCCCCAAAATGATGTGGAAATGAAGCATCAGCCCCCACAGCTGCTGCCTGATCCCCCCACCCCGCCCCGACACGCATACCACAGAGCCAGGGGTATGGCACGGGCCCCTGGCAGCTGACAGAAGTGGTCATGAGTCACTTCAGCATCAGAACCTGGGCCACTCTCCCCTCAGCCCCTCCCTCTCTGACCTTTTCCTCTGCAGCAGGAATGGGATGCTGCTTTATGAGCCCTGCCCATTTCCTTCCAGGGAATGGGGCTCTGGGCATACTGTGGGAAAAAGTGGCCTTTTGCCCTTTCTATTTCTCTGGAGCAGTGAGAGAGTAGGTGAGAGGAAGTGAGAGGTGTGGTGACCTGGAAGTTGTCCATTTGGCCTAGAACACCAGGGTCTCTCTCCTTGGGAAGGATCTAGGAATGTCAGCGGGGCCAAGGAACTCCATGACGGCCACCTGTTCCCAGGCACAGTGGAACAGCCCTCCCAACTGCCATCTGAATGACCTTCTCTTGTTCCTTCCTGCAGGGGCATGTCTTTCCACGGCACCACCATCGGGCTGGCCCCCCTTATGGCCATGTGCTCTGTGTACCAGTCTGGAGGAGTCAATATGGTGAGTCTCAACCAGTATGTGGATGTTGCAGAAGGCAGAAAACTGCCTCACGGGACAGGCGGTCATTTTGGGGCGGGGGGTGGATTATGCTTATTATTGCAGGGGAAAAAACCTTGACATCAAGTCAGGCAGTTGTTTAAAATGAAGTCATTAAGGGGCGCCTGGGTGGCTCAGTCATTAAGCATCTGCCTTCGGCTCAGGTCATGATCCCAGGGTCCTGGGATCGAGCCCTGCATTGGGCTCTGCTCAGTGGGAAGCCTACTTCTCCCTCTCCCACTCCCCCTGCTTCTGTTTCCTCTCTCGCTGTGTCTCTCTGTGTCAAATAAATAAATAAATAAATAAGTAAAATCTTTAAAAATAAATAAATAAATAAAATGAAGTCATTAAGTTCTAAGAGATGGAGGTATCTAGAGGTAAATTTTCATTTATTGTTTTTTATCCCCAATTTTCAAGCTCAGGAGAACCCTGGAAGTGATTACATTACATCTAGTGATGTCACTAGATCTCTCTCATCTCTCAAACCAAGGGCTGGAGAATAGTAAGATAATAGAGATAAAAAAGTATTTTTTATCCTCGGTTTTATGTTATTATGCATATCATTATGAAACAAGAGCTTGTCTCAAAGTCATGGTTAGGAAATTATTGTCTTCTTTTGAAATTCTCTCTAGCTTTGTGGGACTGTTTTGATTATTCATTTCTAACCTGTGAAGTAGATGTCAAGGAGGCCTGCTCTCCATTTGTCTGTCCACCTCTTTATCCCATATTTATCCACAGATGTAGCATGACAGTTAAAAGCACAGGCTTTCGTCACTGAGTCTGTGGGCGCTCTGATGGTGGAATCACTGTGAGGCCTGGCTAAGAAAAGACAGGAACAGGGAGTAGGGAGAGCTGTGTTCTTGACCTGAGCTCTCTCCTTGGGCAGGACCACTCTGAGAATGCCATTGGCGTGGCTGCCACCATGGCCCACGAGATGGGCCACAACTTCGGCATGAGCCATGATTCTGCGGATTGCTGCTCTGCCAGCGCGGCTGACGGTGGGTGCATCATGGCGGCTGCCACCGGGTGAGTCAAGCAGCAAGGTGAGGAGAGCAGAGTGTGTGAGGATAGTACAACCCAAGTGTTCCTCCCCATTGGCCCTAGGAGCCTCTGTTACCCTCTTTCAGGGGCCTCGGAGAGAAATGTGGTTGACAACAAAGAAATTGGAAGAGAACCAAGAAAGCAAATGTGTGCAAGGAGCTCTAGGTTTGTAGCAGGCAATTTGGTGCTGGTGGAACCCTAGATATACTTAATTTCTATCTTAAGGTCTTCAGCTATAAAATTGGCCTGACCACATGTGTCTTTTTCACTTCATGAATTTTTGAGGAGAACCCATTTTGAACAGCCCCAATCCTTAAGTTCCCTGGGAACTTGGTCAGTGCTGGTTGAAAGTTCTGATGTAGCCTACACAACAAGGAAAAGGACAGGGAGCATCCATGCCCACATAGTGACTCCTCAGGGAATTTACAGGTTGCATTTACCATGAGGAACAAGAAAAGCCAGCTACATCTTCCTGTATCTGTGATGGGTTTTTTAACCAGAGCCTTTGAAAGAGAATTCTGGTAACAGCCACAACTCTTAGTCACAACTCTTAATATTTAGTATCTGAACTCATACAGCAGAGAGCATTGGGTTCTTCCAAGACTTGAGTCACTCTTTGGAAGGCATCATGGTAGGAATTTGTGTTCCCTCTACCCCAAACCATTAGCGCCTGCTTACGCTTCTCAGGGAATGCTGTTTCAGTGTCTCTAAGAGGAAATGCAACTTTCTTGGGGTTCCAGTGTCCAGTGTTTGTTCATCGCTTCTTGGCTGTGACATAAATAGGATGATGTTGACATGCAGGATACAACTCCATGGGTCACGCTCAAATCCCTAAGAGCTCACAGTTAAGTCCATCCCTCTCTCAATCTGAAAAGCATATTTATAGTCATATGGTTGAGAGTTATGTTAAGTAATACTCCATTTTGTTTTTAAACTATACTCAAATATAAACTACTAAAGTAGCTTAAAACTTGTTGGCCACAAATTCCTTGTGACAGACCTAACAACTAGGGGACCCTCCAGTGTTTAACTTTAGTTGGTTTAGAGCATTGGGAAGAAGATAACTCTTCCTTTATAGACCTAAATTGTGGTACTGACCTGCTGCTAGAGAATGTATGACTTCTGATTCTTTTTTTCCAATAGTAGAACTCAGGACCTTTCATAATCTTATGATAAAACTATGCATCTGTGAATTGCTGGTTGAGTTTGGAGTGCTGCCTGTATCCTTAGAATAGAGGTCATAAGATTCCTGGCCCGATGAAGAAATTAAACCCATGATCTTGGCTTCTTTTTTTTTTTTTTTTGGCCGGCTCTTCTGTTCCAAGAAAATCTCCATCTAATATCAGCTTCAGGAAAAGTTTGGGTTGGCTAGTATTTTATTCAGCTCTAAAACTCAGGAAACCTATTTTAACATATTCAATTACCCTTTATTTATTGTACCCCTTCCTACAAAGGGCAAAAATTGCTGCTTCTGATTCTCAGATACCTCCTCCATGCACAATGAGGGGAAAAAAGAACATCATGGGGTGCTTAGAAAGAATTGTAAGATAATGTATCAGTGATGTTCTAACGGGACAGAAAGTGTGTGCATGGGACTGTGGGGGTCTGAGTCCAGGTGGAGCCGGCCTCATGGGCAGCAGAATTGAGACTCTTCTGGCTGCTTGATGCTCAGATTCCCAACTAACTCCAGTCTTAACTCTCTGCCAGGCATCCCTTTCCAAGAGTGTTCAATGGATGCAACAGGAAGGAGCTGGACAGGTATCTGCAGTCAGGCGGTGGGATGTGTCTCTCCAATATGCCAGACACCAGGACGCTCTATGGAGGCCGGAGATGTGGGAATGGGTACCTGGAAGATGGGGAAGAATGTGACTGTGGGGAGGAAGAGGTAAGGTGTCATGGTAGTGCCAGTGGGAAGGGGAGAATGGGCACTGGTTCCAAATCTTAGAGTCAAAGAGAATGCAACTGAATACCTCTTAGTCTTAGGCATTTCCCACATACACATGGCCATCAAAGACCCCATCACAAATCAGATGTGGTGAGTAAGGCTTCAATATGGACCATGTTTGCAGACCCTTTCAGTTTGAGGTTGCCACTGTTGGTGTCCAGGTCAGGGTGGAGTTCTCCTTGGGAGTTTCCCGTCTAACCAAACCCATCATCCCTTCCCCAGTGGAGTTACAGATGGCTTCCTTGGTCCTCCAGCTGCACGGAGTTTATTCCGGAGGCCACACAGCTGGATATATGAACTTGAACCTGGGCCTTGAGGAGGCTTAAAATAACAAGCTTGGGCTATTTAGGCTGGAGAAGAGATGATTGAAAGAGGATGTAGGAAGTGCTGTTAGGTCTGGAAAGGGCAGCTGCAGGAAGAATGAACAGAACTGTTTGTGTTCAAGCTCTTTCCTTCCTTCTGATCTTCAGAATGAGTGGTGGGCATGCAGCATAGCGCTGTCATCTTTGGCAGATGTGTGTTGTTCTGCAAAAAGCAGAACTGGATAGTTTCATGTCTATTTTCTGAAGGATGAAATATGTACGTTAACATATGCAAAACAGTCAACCGTGTGAAGGGGAGACTGAGGGTATATATAAGACTATTTGATTTTACGACCTTCTCTATGGTTTGATTTTTGTTTTTTGTTTTTGTTTTATTTTGTTTTTGAGAGAGAGAGAGAGAGCAGGGGAGGAGCAGGGGGAAAGGGAGAGAGAGAGTCTTAAGCAGGCTCCATGCTCAGTGCAGAGCCCGACGCAGGGCTCCATCTCACGACCCTGAGGTCGTGACCTGAGCCAAAATCAAGAGTGGGCTGCTCAACTGACTGAGCCACCCAGGCACCCCTGATCTTTGTCTTTAATGTCGGCACCTAACTTTCATAATAAAACAAAAACTAGTGAAAGGTTCTGCCTCCCCCGCCACCATGAATTCAGAGAGATCAGTCCAGACCCAAGAGAAAGGAGAGAGTTGTCCCCTCTTACCATGGAGGGTCTAGTGGAGTTGAGGAGCAGTCCATGAGTGGGCTCAGCCAGTTGGCTTATGTTCAGCAAATATTTACTGAGTGTGGGGCACTACGTTGGGTGCTAGGGATAGGATGGATAGCAAAAATAGACATGGTTCCTGTCCTTGCGGGACATATTATCTCCTGGGGAAAACACACAGTGGCCAAATCATTGCCGAAGTGTATGAGCACACTCTGTGGTAAAGGCTTAGGAGGGCCAATGATACGTGCTGTGAACATTTGCAGTGTGAGAGGGGCTGCCCTACTCAAGTGGGAGTGTGACTTCTGACCCCATATCTGCAGGCGAAGTTGTGAGTTACTGAGAAGCACAAGGAGAGAAAGCACATGTCAGCTAGTGGAGAGGCCTCACCCTGAAGTGGGAGGAAGCATGGTCTGCCTGGAGCCTAGGACAGTGGGAGATTAATGGAAGGAAAGTGGCCTTTTCCTTCTCTTAGGGGAAACGAGTGGATGGGCATCGTAGTCGGGCATGCAATGTGTCTCTCAGACCAGATCTGGGCATTTAAGGTTAGGAAATGGTTCGTAAGCTTGGGCAGGCCCCAGGCAGACATGGCTTGAATTCAGCTTCAGCACTTGCTGGGTGTGTGCCTTGACCAGCATAGGACTTGTCTGAGCTCCATTTCCCTATCTGTGAAATGGGAGTAATTGTGCCTCACAAGGCTGTGATGGACCTATGCATGGGGCCTGGCACATTGTCAAGACATGGTTTAGGATAGGCCTATGAATATAGAGGAGAAGTGTGATAAGGACACTCAGAGTCATTGGGGGGAGGGGCCTCTCATCATCTTTTTAAATCTCATGCTGTACATCAGCAAGTCAGGACCCATAAGGCAAGAAGAAGAGAAGGGAGCGTGGAACCCCTAAAGACCTTCTGTTCCAAAAAGATCCAGGCCAGTGAAGGGTGAGGAAGAGCAGCAGATGATGAGAGCAGAACTTCTGAACTGAGAAGTTATTCCAGCCTGGCCTTTGCTTTTGACGGCCTTTTCTTGTGGGATAAAAGGCCCAGAGTGTACAAGACATGGTCTCTGCACGTTCTACTGGGGCTGAGAAAAACAAATCCCAGAACTCTTCTATAGTGTAATATTATGCTAAACATCATGTTTTTGAAGAATATGGGATTGCAGGGAGAAATGTACATATTAGATTAAATTAAAAAGCAGTGTGAATACTATGATTTTGTAAAATAAGTATGTGTCAATATATGTGAAAGGGAAGACGCCTGGGTAAATAGTCACCCTCAACATGTAGTTGTGTTTATGTTGTGATGTTACTGATAATTGTGCTTTTATATATTTTCTGTGATAAATATACATGACCTTCATGATAAACCTACAAAGCGAATTTTTTGGTAAAGATTTTCTGGGGAGCTTGGGCCCCAGGGGCCTGTGGGGCAGGGGTGGGAGAGTGTGGGAGGCGCCACCCCGAATCCTGTCTCCCTGCTCTCCTGCCCCAGGAGCCCATGGCCATACCCTCTGCCTCTGCAGGAATGTGAGAACCCGTGCTGTAATGCCTCAAATTGCACCCTGAAGGAAGGGGCTGAGTGTGCCCACGGCGCCTGCTGTCACCGGTGTAAGGTAAGAGGCCCTTTTCCCACCCCACCCTGCCAGAGACCCAGGGTTCTGACCTGACAACCCAGTGCTCTGCTGGGGGCTGATGACTGGGATTCAGCCTCCATCCCTGGGAAGTGATGGTGGCAAAGTTTCAGAAACATGCAGCTGGGCTGGCCCCTCAGAGTTTACTATTTCCTATATTATGCCTCACTGGCTTCAAAGCATCCCAGAGGGCTGTGCCACCTGGAAGATGGAAGACTGACTTTATTTATTTATTTATTAAAATTTTATTTTATTTCACTTAAATTCAATTAATTAACATACAGTGTGCTATTAGTTTCAGAGGTAGAGTTCAGTGATTCATCAGCTGCATAAAAAAAATAAAACAAAAACCCAGGGCTTATTACATCACGTGCCCTCCTTAATGCCCATCATCCATTTACCTCACCTCCCCACCCACCTCCCCTCCAGCAACCCTCGGTTTGTTTCCCAGGGTTTAGTCCCTATGGTTTGTCTCCCTCTCTGATTTTGTCTTATGGAAGACTTTTTTTTTTTTTTTTTTTAAGAAGTATCCAGAGAGGGGCGCCTGGGTGGCTCAGATGGTTAAGCGTCTGCCTTCGGCTCAGGTCATGATCCCAGGCTCCTGGGATCGAGTCCCGCATCGGGCTCCCTGCTCAGTGGGGAAGCCTGCTTCTCGCCCTGCTTCTCTCTCTCTCTCTCTCTCTCTCATGAATAAATAAATAAAATCTTTAAAAAAAAAAAAAAAAAAGAAGTGTCCAGAGAGAGTAGGCTTGATTTTATTTGGAGTTCATAATAATAATCATCATAATTTTGACTAATATTAAGGGACTTCTTCTTATTAGATGCCAGGCACTATGCAGAGAATTTTATATATATTAGCTCATTCAATCCTCGCAACAGTCCCATGAGACGTATATTAACATCCTCACTTTAAGAGGAGTAAACTGGGGCTCGGTGGGGATAAGTAGCTTATCCCAGACCACACAGCCAGGAGGGGGCTGAACCACGTTTGCCTGCCTCTGGAGCCTACAGTCCTAGTATTGATGTGGAAGATAGTGCTACTAATCTTACTATAGCTTTACAATCTCCTGTCTATAATTCTGAAATTCAGAAAATTCTAAAAACTGGAAAAAAAATTTCTTAACTCATTTGGTGGAAATCTTACCTGAATTGACATAATGATATTCTTTTTTAAAAAAGATACACTTAACAGGTGGGAGCCAGGGCTTTGTTTTGTGGTTGTGTTTGTTGTTATTGCCGTTTGTTTGCCTAGTTCTCATTCTATGTAGACTTGGCCAAATTAATGGAACTTTTGTTCCATCCTGGTGAGATAAATATCTGTTGCACAAATAAATCAATGAACAAACCCGAGGTTGATCTTTGCTACATGACCTTGGCTGATCAGTTTGATCTCTATGCCTCTATTTCTTTGTCTCATGAATTAATCTAAATAAACTCTAGGATTTAAAAAAAAATAATAAATAAAATAAAAAGACACATTTAAAGTGAAAATTTCTGTTTTGTTGCAGAAAAATTAATGTGTTTGATTATAAAGTATAACCCCAGGCCTTGCTGGGGGGGGGAGTCATATAATATACATATGTAATGTATGAATGCATATACATACTTATGTATGTACATATGTGTAATGTCTACTTTCTGAAATCTGAAAAGTCTGAAGCCCATCTGGCCCCAAAGTTTTGGTAGGAATTATGGACCTATGCTTCCATCTGCCACTTGCTAAGTGCTCATCATGTGCTAGATACTGTTCAAGTGCTCTGTTTGAACGCAGTCCTTGTAACAATCCCATGAGAAGGTTATTACTCTGTGCTAACCCAGAGTGGTTAAGTAGCTGCTCCAGGCCCCGCTGCTGGTTAAGGAGCTGGGATTTGAACCCAGGCAGGCTGGCTCCAGGTGTGTCCTTTGGTGTTAGAGATGCATTCTGCGTCTTCCTCCTCCCCACATGGCCAGTGCCCACCCTTGCAACTGAGGCTCCATGCTTTTAAAGCAAGCTGCTCAGATGGGCCCATTCTCTGCCTTCTCTCCTGGGAAGGCCTTGTAGGTGGTATGGGGTCACCTGGGAGTAGGGATGGCACCATTCTCAGATGTGGCTTTCCTTACAGGCCTGGAGAAACTCACCATCTGGTTTCACTCTAAGGTAGACTTGGCATCTCCCCGTGGAGGTTGTGCCCGGTGGGGTCCTTTGAGGCTTCGACCATGGCCTGAGAATAAGCATGGACAATGTCCATTCAGTTTGGGTCTCAGAAAGGATCCTCTGGAGAGAAGTGTGTGCAGAGACATGAGGCTTGGAGTCTGAAACCTTCAGTTCAAGCCCTGGTAGTGTGATTTGGGGCAGCCTACTAACCATCTGAGTCTAGGTTCCTTATCTGTAAAATGGGAAGAGTGTTAATAACACTGACCACCCAGAGAGACTGGAAGACTCAAATGGAAAACTTAGTCCTTACCATTCCCCACCATTGTGCTATTAATCGGGTTATTTTTATCTCCAGAAAGAGGCAAATAACAGCATCTGCCTCACGGATATTGTGAGGCTCACATGGGATCCGTAAGTGTAACTTAGCCCAGTGCTTGGCTCAGTAATGGGGATATATTATTGCTCAAGTGCTTTGTAAATTCAGGGGTGCTGTGTGAATAGTGTGTGTGTGTGCGTATGTGCACACACATTTGTGTGTATATATTAGTGGGCCTGGCTCTTCAGCCACTTACTGACCAGCAGACTTTCGATACCTTGCTTAACCTCTTCTGCCTCAGGTTTCATCATCTGTAAAATAGGGATAATTAGATATTACTTAGGACTCCCATGAGAAGTAAATGAGGTAATATTTGTACCAGGCATTAAGTGGGAGCTCTGTAAAAGTAGCCATTATTACTAAAGCACTTAGTAAACTGTAAATTGTTGCGTAAATATTATTCTTACCTACTTCTTAAAATGGCTAAGAAGAGGAAATGAGTTAGCATTTGTGAAAACACCTTGAAAACCTCTAAGTCATTATTCATATTAGAAGGCTAATGATGGTTTAAGCTAATGAGGCCATGCAAAATAGCGGTCCCCCGAATACTGGAAATGGGAAACTGTTCCATGAGACCTTTGCTGGCAGGGTTGAGGGCATGCGGGAGATTGACTGTTTTTTCCCTCTTCTCTCGGTTCAGCTGCTGGCCCCTGGGACCCTGTGCCGTGAGCAGGCACGGCAGTGCGACCTTCCAGAATTCTGCACGGGCAAGTCTCCCCATTGCCCCACCAACTTCTACCAGATGGACGGCACCCCCTGTGAGGGTGGCCAGGCCTACTGCTACAATGGCATGTGCCTCACCTACCAGGAGCAGTGTCAACAGCTGTGGGGGCCTGGTAAGGACTCTCCTACAGAGTGGCCCTCCTCCTGCCCCACCGTTTCCAAGCCAACCGCCCCCTGCAGGCCCTTGGCATAGCTTAGACCCTTGGCTTCCAAATGGCATCTCTAGATTCTACCTTTCTACTCCCCCTTGACTCAGAGTAGACCTTCAGAGAAACACAGTGAGCAGTATTCTTCCCAGTTCCTTGATGCTTTAAATCCTCACAGTGGGCAAACGGTAAGAGTAATCCAACAGAAAAATGGGTAGAGCATGGAGACAGAAAAGGAAATGCAGATGACCCTCAGCTGTGAACAGATCTTTAACCTCACTCATTAAGTGGAAGCGCATTAGAACTACTATGAGATGGGATTTCTCATATATCAGACTGGCAAAGACTGCGAAGTCAATGTAATAACAATTATAATACCATAGCTGTCACAATAAGAGTGGAAATAATGTAGTGTGGAGAATGTGGGGAAACATATAGGTACAACCCCTATGGAAAGCGATTTGAAGATATCAAAATTCATGTGAGCTTCTCATGACCTGTCCATTCCACTACTTAGGAGTGTACCCTACTCTTCTATTTACACATGTATGTGAAGACAGATTGATAAGGATACTGTAGCAGTGTTAGTGATAGAGCAATAGCAACCTAGATGTCCTTAAGTAGGGACCGATTAAATTAATCCTGGTATACCCATGTCGTGGACCCCTCTGCAGCCGAATAAAAAAAGGAGGCAACTCTGTATGTACTGAATAAAACTATCTCCTACAATAAATTAAGTGAATAATGCAAGATGCAGAACAGCGAATAGAATTGCTGCCATTCTTTATTAGATTATCTCTAGAAGATACACAAGAATTGTATCTAGAAGATAGAGAGATACAGTTACTTTTTGAAGATACATTGTTAGTTGTGATTGCTTCTCCAGGTTGTGAGGAAGTAGGAACTGGAATGGCTACTTAGAAAAATAAAGACATACTTTATTTCCTTAACATTTTGTGCATGTATTACCTATTTTAAAATCTGAAATGGGACACGACTTTTCCATTACAGCAAAGGCTGAGCACACAAACCACCCGTAGATAGAATACCTCAATAAGGTATAAAGAACTGATATAAAAGCTTTTTCTGTGAGTAGGTCTTGATGAGAAGTTGGGGGTGGAATAACCTGATGGGGGTACAGGAAGAAAAAGCTGGCCATTCCTTCCCCCAAAAACGTTCTTAACCTCATGACTTTACCAAGGGCTAGCTTTGCACTTTGGGAGCTTCTGACCTTTCCTAAAGTTGGCTAGTGTGCTGATAAATGTTTCTTGCCCACCCAGGAGCCCGGCCTGCTCCTGATCTCTGCTTCGAGAAGGTGAATGTGGCAGGGGACACCTTTGGAAACTGTGGGAAGGACATGAATGGGGAACACAAGAAGTGCAACATGAGGTGATGACCGTAGGGCTAACCCCATAAGATGAAGTGTGACAGGGCAGTTTCTGCTCTGTCCTCGCTCCCGCCCAGCTCAGCAGCCTGGGCCTTTAAATAAATTGTCCAGAGTCAGTCACCTATTTCAGGCCCGTTGTTAGACAATGTACCATTCAGTCTCGGGAAGTCAAAGGGTGGGTGTGGATGGCAATGCTTCCTAGAAAGCTGCCACACTTCCTTCTGGGACCTTACAGCTGGGCAGGGAATCAGCTCTCTTGGGTCATTTCTGTGGGATGCTAATTATACCTTCACCTGAATAGCCTGTCACTCACTTATTCATTCATTCATTCATTCATTCGTTCGTTCGTTCATTTCAACCAGCCATCCACCCATCCATCCATCTATTCATCCTCCCATCCACCCACCCACCTATCTACTATCTGTTGAGCGCTTGCTGTATGCCAGATAGGACGCTGAGTACATGGAACTTTTAGTTAACAATACTGTGTGATACCAGAATTGTGGCGAGAGCCACCCAACCTGGTCTTAGTAGGTCAAGGTGATGTCCCAAGGGAAGTTAGGTCTACACTGAGATGTGGAGACATTATCTAGTTGAGCAGGACGGAAAATGGTGTGGGTACACGGGAAAGTAGATAGATGAGTAGAGAAAAACTGGTGGCAGGAGGAGCTGAAAACAGTTTGATGTAGTTAAAGTATGATGTTGGGGTACAGTCGAGGGGGAGCTGCTGAGAAATGAGCCTGGATGGCTGAGCAGGGACCAGATCATGAAAAGCCGTGAAGGCATGACTAGGCCAGTTTGGACTTTGGCTGAGAGGAGTTTGGAAATCAGACTCCAGTGGGGGCAAGACAGGAAGCAGGGAGATCTGACTCTTGGTGTCCAAGTAAAGAAGGGTGGTGATGTGATTTAGGGTTAATGTATACGAGGGAAGATTGACAGAGCTCAAAAATCACTTGAACCCAGGAGCAAGGGCAAATGGGGCGTTGGGGCTGACCCCAGGCTTCTGGCTCCAGCCCCTGGGTGCATGGGGGAGCGGCTGGAGCATAAGAGGGCACAGGTCAGGCAGTTGTCCTTGCAGTAAAGAGGACTTCCTCAGGCCTGTTCTCTGGCCTAGATCTAGCTGGGGACAAGGATCTTATTTCCTGTTCCAAGTCCAGTTTCACATGAGGTCTCTCCTGCTGGATCCCTAGAGCACACTCACAGCTCCCTGGCCCCTCTCCCATCCAAACCTGCTCTCCAGGTCGAGAAAGACCGAGGCTCTTCTGTGCCCCAGCTCTTCCTCTGCCTCTGATTCCACCTCCTTTTCTCTCTCTCTCTCTCTCTCTCTCTCACTCTCTCTCTGGCTCAGAGATGCCAAGTGTGGGAAGATCCAGTGTCAGAGTTCTGAGGCCCGGCCGCTGGAGTCCAACGCAGTGCCCATTGACACCACCATCATCTTGAATGGGCGGCAGATCCGGTGCCGGGGCACCCATGTCTACCGTGGTCCTGAGGAGGAGGGGGACATGCTGGACCCAGGCCTGGTGATGACCGGGACCAAGTGTGGCTACAACCATGTGAGTCCCTGCCTCACTCAGGGGAGAGGGGAGTGACTGACAAATGTGAGCTCTGGAGGGAAGGTGCCCGGGCTCCAATCCCACCTTTGCAGCCTCCCGAGCCTCAGTGGCTTCCTTTATAAAGCATGTTAGCAATAGCATGACCCACCCCATCGGATTGTCATAAGGATTCAATGAGAGGATCCCTGTAAACTACTTAGAGGGGCTAGCCATTATCACTTTTGTCCTCATCATAAATTATTATATGATTTATGAAATGGACTAGACTCTAGTCCAGAAGCCTGGGGAAAATAAGGGCACCTATCTCAGAGTTAACGAGAACAAAATTATAAAAAACATGTGAAGTGCTTGGTATAGGACCTGGTGCAGAGTTGACTGCTGTCACCATCATTATTTTTAAGGATAATATTAAAATTAGTGCATGTTAATATATAGCAAAGTAACAAACATATAACCAACACATTAATATAGAATGTAATAACATATTTATTATATTAATATAATGTTTAAATAATATAGTGTTTGTTATTTTCTCCCCGGTCACAAAAGGAATAGCAGAATTTATTTAACTATCATCCTGTCCTGGCTTTTTAGGCCATTTTTAGTTTTTCACTATAATAAATACCTGAACGGAGTTGCATTTCTGAGTCCTGTATGTTCTAAGTGTAAAACCCCAGCCTCTTGATGGCTACCCAGTGTCCCTTCCGTTGGACTGACAGTTTGGTTTCCTCGCTACAGATTTGCTTCGAGGGGCAGTGCAGGAACACCTCCTTCTTTGAAACGGAAGGCTGCGGGAAGAAGTGCAATGGCCATGGGGTGCGTGTGCCCAGGGTTCTGGGGCTCCTCTGCACTGATATCTGTGGGGACAGGCCCCGTGGGGGACCGCAGCCCTCCGGGGTGCTGACCCCCATGCCCTTCCCTTGCTCCAGGTCTGCAACAACAACCAGAACTGTCACTGCTTCCGGGGCTGGGCCCCACCCTTCTGCAACACACCCGGCCAGGGGGGCAGCATCGACAGTGGGCCCATGCCCCCTGACGGTAAGTGTCTGGCCTGCTCAGGGGCTCTGCCCACTTTTGTGAGGAGGGCTGGGTGACATGGTGTAGACAAAGAGTGAGTCCGCTCCATTATCCTGATTTTGTAGATGAGGGAACAAAAAGGGGAGAGGAGGGAGCTAAGCGGGAGAGCGGCTGAGGCTGCTGGGCTTGTGTGGGGCTTATCTCAGTTGCTCTTTCTCTTATCATTTCTACTGAGGACGATGACACTCCTTGGGTGAGGGAGAGATTAAGAGAGATCATGGGTTATTGAATAATCTCATCTACTTTTGGACAGTGGGTGGTGAACAGTCCTTCTCAGCCACATAAAAGGAATCATGAACCTGGGGCACATTATAGTGGTTCGGATCCCTTGGATGAGCAAAGCTTAAGATGGAGCACAGACATGTGGAAAAATTTACAGTTTTTAGTGTAAATCACGGAAATTCTAGCCCTTTGGTTTCCAAGCTTTTTTTCTTTTTTTAAGAGCAAAGTACTTTTATTTGAATGAAATCTTTTAGAGAAGAAACCCCAATATATAAAACAGATAAAAGTAGTGTGTCACTGGTATATATATATTTTGTACATTTAAATTTGTAATTTGTGAGAACACTGAGGCAGCTTTGATGAAACCAAATACGAAATTGTGGGTTATTTGTGAGACTTCTAGTCTTAGATCAGTTTCAGCCTCCCAGCACTTTGGGTTGGTTGCTTTGTGTCCAGAAAAATCATAATTGGGCTGAAAACTAGCGGTAAGTAATAATAAAACTTGAGTTCCTTGTCTCAAAAGGGCCTCTTCAATTAAACAGAAGTGGCTGGAGAAGCTTCATTGTGAGGTCTGCACAAAGCAAATTGACCTGACTGTTTAAGCTAATATTAGTGGTTTCCCAGTGGTACCTAATGTGTGTGTTTCATTATACTTCTTAAGTTAAAATAAATAACACAAATTAAATGTAAATCAAGTATCTGAAGAAGAATCAGGAATACAGCCCACTGCTGTGGCCCAAACAGCTTCTGAATTTCTCACTTGGGTTCTGTTTCTGGAAGGTGTTGGTCCTGTGATAGCCGGAGTGTTTACGGCCATGTTTGCACTGGCGGTCCTTATGCTGATCTACTACTGCTGTAAACAGAACAACAAACTGGGCCAACTCAAGCCCTTAGCCCTCCCTTCCCAACTGAGGCAACAGTTCAGGTATGGTGGGGTGCCATGAAGGACTTGGGTCCATTTATGGGTCATAAAGCTTTCTGTAAGCAGAACATGGTAAAAAACAAAAACAAAAACCTGGTGGTAGTGGTCTAATTCAGAGCAGGCAAGTGAGCCATCCATGCCACCATCTTCCTTTCTGCCTCGCTTCACCACCATGGCCAACGTTACTAGTTGGTCTTAATGTAAGTACTCTCTACTGGTGGTCACTTCAGAATCCTCAGCAGAATGCCTCTGACCAATTCAGGTTGGAATACAAAATGAAATCTATTTGCCATCCTCTTTGTAATCATCTGGATTTCCATTTTAAAGCGCAGGGAACTGAGGCAACCCAGATGGACTAACCAGCTTAAGTCAGTCATAGGGTGTCTGGACATCCACTCAAGACAAAGGCTTTTTTTTTTTTCCCCCCAGTGATTCATTCCTTTGGATCCTGGGGGTGTGTGATTTCTGAGTCCCCTATTAAATTAGGCTTGTTCTGAAGAGCATTTTAAATCCCAGGCCTACCTGGATCTATGCCTGAAGGGACTTGGTGGATAGCTGGTGACATCCTTGTGTCTCCTTGAGGGAGAAGGTTCTCAAAAGGGTGAAGGGAAGGTGCTAAGGAAAACTCTGTTTTGTAAGGGCAGCTCTCTTTCCTTGAGAGTTCTCCACTGGCCATACGGTGTCTCCACACGAAGGGAGCCGGGGTTCAGGGGAGCTAATCCCACTTTGTCCAGAGACTTGGGTGGGGGGGATTTAGCTGCTTGCTGGCTGTGCTGATCCAGAGGGAACTCAGGCTCTGACCCTTGATGAACATCCCCCCTCATCCTTCTCCCCCATTCTTGTTACTAGTTGTCCCTTCAGGGTGTCTCAGAACAGTGGAACTGGCCACTCCAACCCAACGTTTAAGTTACAGACGCCCCAGGGCAAGCGAAAGGTAAGGGCTTTGCACCATTGCACTTCGCTGCTTTTCCTTTATTCCCCAGGACCCTGCTGGATTTTCCTAAGAGCTTCTGTGGGCCTGTGGGATTGGTAATAAAAGGCACTTTCTTGGCTTGAGAGAGATTCTGTTGGTTCTGACATCCCCTCATGACTCTAAAGATTGTACCTGACCTCTGGGCACCTGGGGGTTTGGCAGGTCAGCACGTCCTCCCTTTGGCCTCTGGCCATCTCAGTGGGACATGCAAGGGCACCCCTGAGTTTTGCAGCATATTGAGGATTCCTGTTTCTCAGGCATTCCTGGTCTTGTGCATACAGGTGACCAACACCCCTGAAACCCTGCGGAAGCCCTCCCAGCCTCCTCCTCGGCCCCCTCCAGACTATCTGCATGGTGGCTCCCCACCTGCGCCATTGCCAGTGCACCTCAGCAGGGCTGCTAGGAGCTCCCCAGGGCCCGGGTCCCAAGTAGAGAGGAAGGAGTCATCCAGGAGGCCTCCTCCAAGCCGGCCAGTTCCCCCGGCCCCAAACTGCATCCTCTCCCAGGTAAGTGGATTCTCGGCAACCCTGGACTAGGGCCGTGCTTTCAAGGCCACCGGCAATAGGGAGTGACAGAGGCTGTGAAGATGGGACTCTGAGGCCGGAGCGGACCGTCTTGCCTGCATTCTGGTAAATGCAGGGAGCACACAGAGCGTGAGACCGGTGAGCATGGAGAAATTGACTCCCCAGGAGGCCCCAAAATTACAGAGGATTTCCTTCAGGGTTGGCCTATTTTATGCCAGACCACTACCTCCCTTCTGGCCCCAGTGAATCTCTGTCAGGTTCCTGTGCTTCTCTTAGTCTTGGCAAATGCTTTGTCTTCTGCCTAGTACCCTCTTTTCCCCTTTTGCATGGCCAGCTCCTATTCATCCTCACATCTCCTCCTAGAGGCCACTTCCCCCAAGAAGCCCTCTCTGACCCCCCCCAAGCCTGAGTCCGGTACCCCTGTACTTCTCTCATCATAGTACTTGTCCCACCGAATTGTACCTTCCACTCATCGGGAAGTCAAATGGGGGATGCTAATTCGAAGGCAGGTCAAGGGAGGTGTGGGAAGAGCGTCACCTCCCTGCAGCCTCTTCATCTGGCCTGTCTGTGCTCGGATGGCTCCCACTCTTCTTGCAGAATTTCCCACACCAGAGACACACAGTTTCCCTGGCAGGGGTCAGGCCTGATGCCTTCCAGAGCCCTCCTATGTGTTCTGGGGGTGACCCCTCCAGTGGGGCAGACGACTTGCTTATTTTCCTCCTAGGATTGCTTTTCTTAGGCATGGTCAGGGGCCCCCCTGGGGTCCCGGCTGACCCTGTAAGTTTGGCCCCAGCTCTGGGAGGGTCCCTGGGACATGGGGCAGTGTCATGGTTGGGTAGAGCCGAGAGCATCAGGTTTGGTTCTCCAGCGATGTGAAGCTGCCGCGCTCCCGTTTTTCTTATCTGAGGCAGGGGTGGGATGGAAACTGGCCATGCAGAAGAGGGAGGGAAGGGCTAGTAGCGAGAGAGGAGGGGGGAGGGGGGAGAGCAAGAGGGCAGAACTGAGGCGAGGAGGCAGAGAGTGCGCCAGTCAGTTCGGGAGGCCCTGAGTCCCACTGACCTGCCGACCAGAAGCTTAAACAGCAGAAAGCTATCTTCCCACAGTTCTGGAGGCTAGAAAGCCAAGACTGGGCTGTCCGTATGGTTGGTTTCTTCTGGCTCACAGGTGGCCACTTTCTCCCGTGTCTTCTGTCAGTCCTTCCTTTGTGCCTCGTTGCCTCTGCGTCCAGATTTCCTCTTCTCACGACGCCAGTCAGGTTGGATGAGGGCCCGCCTTCATGGCTTCATTTTAACATAATTGCCTCATTAAAGTCCCTGTCTCCAAATACAGTCACATTCTGAGGTCTGGGGACTTAGGGCTGCAACATAGGAGTCGGAAGAGCTAGGATTTCAACCCAGGTCTGACTCCAAACTCTTTACCACCCTGTGTGCCAACTCCTGGTTTAGGCCTGGGGTCTCCCAAGCTGAATGAGACACCACCCTGTGTTGGGGGCATTCACGGTCCAGATCTCAGCTCCACCGCTTGCTAGGTTGGTGATGGGACCACCCTAGCGAGGTGGTGGTGCAGTTTTGTAACCTCCCTCTTCTACTCTCTACAGGTATGTAGGAGCTTCTACTCCCTACTGGGCAGTGGTGAGCAAAGCAGACACTGGCTCTGCATCACAGGCTCACATTCCGCTGGGCAAGAGACCCCAATATGTGTAGTTACACCAGGGATCAGTGCTGTGAAGGAAACGTTCAGGGTTCTCAGAAAAAGAGTTACAGGGGGACTTGAGCTACTCTGGGAAATCTAGGAAGGCTTCCCTGAGGAGGTAGCATTTAAGCTGAGAGCTGAGGGATAAGTAGGAGTTAGCAGGCTGTGAGGGGCGGGAGAGGAGAGAGTTTAACTGGTCCAAGGACCTGCTGATGGGGAGCTCCCTGGGGCCTGAGGAGCTATGAGATGAGGCTGGAGAATTCCTTGGGAAAGGGGTAGTGTTGGGGCATGGTGACATGAACCACTTTGCCATTTATGAGGATTGCTCTTTGGGCTACCTTTTAGGCAGGAGCAGGGTGTAGTGGCTGGGAGGGACCCCCAGATGCTTCTGGGGCCATTCATCTTCTTTCGTGCCCTGGGTAGGGATTACATAGGTGTGTTCACTTCCTGATTATTCATCTAGTTGTATATTCATGATTCACACTTTTATATGCATATGATACTTCAACTTTAAAATACTGGTTTAAAAAAATGGAAGGGTCACTCCAGCGGCGGTGTGAGTCACTGGTCCGAGGGGCTGAGGCTGGGTGCGTGGACGTGCTAGTCAGAAGGCTGACGTGCTTCCCAGAGGACAGACGACAGGAGCCTGGAGCAGAGGTGGCAGGAGTGCCGGATTGAAGCTGACGGGAGATGCGTAGGAGAGAAAACGGATGGGACATGGGGAGCAGTTGCCGATGCCCCCCGTGTCTGGTCCATGCAGCTTGGCTGACGGAGGCACCGCGCCCTGAGTGGCCTGGAGCGCCTCGGGACTGTTGCTGCCTCTGGAAAACAGTGCTGGCTGAGGCCCCTGGTCGAGCCCAGCTCGGACCCTGCAACGTGGCCTGTGGCAGGATGCTGCTGTGGGAGGCCCGGTGTTGCCATGTGCCCCTAAGGCTCCTGCCCAGATACCCGCCCTGTGCCCCAGTTGCTCGTTTTGCACAGCAAGCAGCTCGGGAACACAGCACTTCCCCACAGCTCCCTGACATCTGCTCCCAGCTGTTGCCTCCCCGCAGAAGGTCTCTGTCCTGGCCTCCAGCAGCCACCGCCATGTGGCCGCTGTCTGGACCGCAAGGGTGGGCGATCGCACTGTCCTTGGGGGAGGGCATGGAGGTGGAGAGCATGGCTTTTTGGTCACAAGAATCTGCTATTCTTCTGTTCTTTTGAGCTTTAGTTTCTGCTCTCAGTTTTCTTTTTTTTTTTTAAGATTTTATTTATTCATGAGAGAGAGAGAGAGAGAGGCAGAGGGAGAAGCAGGCTCCCAAGGAGCAGGGAGCCCGATGCGGGACTCGATCCCAGGACCCTGGGATCATGACCTGAGCCGAAGGCAGACGCTTAACCATCTGAGCCACCCAGGCGCCCTCTGCTCTCAGTTTTCTGATGGGTGAGAAGCTTCTTTCCCCAAATCCCGCTTCTCGGATTAGCTCCTGCCCTCTCCCTGTGCTTTGCCTTTTGGCCATCGTTAGGCCTGCTAGTGACCTCAGGAAGGGGAACATCAAGGACTTCGGGCACTGGGACTCCCAGTGCCTGGAATTGGCTTCTGGCTCACGCCTCACAGTCTTGGGGATCTGTGAGTGGTGCCATGGCCCATTCTTTGCCCTGTAAAGAAAAAAAAATTTTTTTTTTTGATCACAGAAGAAATACATATTTGAAGGATTTTGACTAGCTCAGAAATTTATTTTTTTAAGATTTTTTATTTATTCATGAGAGAGAGAGAAGAGAGAGAGTGCACAAGCTGGGGGGAGGGACAGAGGGAGAGGGAGCCCGATGCGGGGCTCCATCCCAGGAACCTGGGGATCATGACCTGAGCCAAAGGCAGATGTTTAACCAACTGCGCCACCCAGGTGCCCCTCAGAGATTTACTTACTCAACTAAGATGTGTTGAGTGCTTACTGTGTACTAGGCACTGTCCTGGAAGCTTGAGCTCTATCAGTGAACCAAACAGACAAGGACCTCTGCCCCTGCTTCTGGTCTCGTGGGGGGTGGAGAGGCAGTAAAGAAGAAATAAGTGAGTTGTATGGTATTTTGGAGGAGGGGAAGTGATATATATCCCCCCTCCAAAACAAAAAAGTCGATTGGGATAAAAGGGTCTGGGAATGCTGAATGCCAGAGTGGGGGGTGTTGTAATTTTAAATAAGGTGGTCAGGGAAGAGCTTATTGAGAAGGTAACAAGACAAATATAAAAGCACAAAGTGAAGGATCCCGTTAATTGCACCACCCACAGAAAACCAATGTGGCAAATGTGGTTTCTTCTTTAAAAGAAAATTTTTTTTCATTTACTCAAGTAATACACATATATGCTAATGTTAAAAATAATTGAATGTTCCCCTGCATGAGCCCCTCCCCACTCACACCCCATCCCTAACCTCTGTTATCAGTTTGCTCTGTATCCTTTCTGACTTTCTTCTGTACATTTACATTTACATTGGTGGGGACAAGAGGGGAGGAAGGTGGTGACTTATTTTACATAAACCTGTATGTCAGCTTGCAATGACTCTTGATCATCATTCCACCTCAGCTCGTATGCCCTACTTTATTCTTTTTGAATACCACTTCACTTGTCACCATATAACTTTACTAACTTGTCCATTGATGGACATTTTGGCTGTTTGTAATTGCCTTTCCTGTCACAAATAGTGTTGCAAGCAACATCTTTGCAATTTTGTTTTTGTGCACTTGTGCAAATGGCAGGAAGCGGAATGATCAGACTGGAGAATGACCATTTCTCATTTTAACAGATACTGCCAACTTGCTCTCCAAAGAGGCTTTTTCCTGAGCATGTGGACACATATACACACAATTTGTTTTTCGATAGGACCGTACAGTATATCCCTTTTCTCCTCTGATTTGGATCGGTAAGATGTCGGGAGCATTTTCTTTCAAACAGGGCCCTCTGGCCTTTGAGTGAGGCTTGTGGCTTTCTCCCCAGGATCTCGCCAGGCCGCGGCCACCACAGAAGGCACTCCCAGCCAACCCAGTGCCAGGCCGCAAGAACCTCCCCAGGCCAGGTGGCGCCTCCATCTTGCAGCCCACTGCCGCTACCCCTCTTCAGCCCCGGCCTCTGGCAGCACCTGTCCCAAAGGTGAGTCCTTGGAAGCCCTCAAGATATAAGCTGCGGCCACAGGGCTCTAGCAGGCCAGAATGTGGTTGAGAAAACAGGCCAATTCCTGCTTCTTTTGGCAGGGGTGTGAATTTCCAGAGCAAAGGCCAAGGACAAAAACTTAGTGTTTCTTGGTGCCTGCATGAGAATCCCTTAAGTTAGGGTGGGAGTTTTTTCACTTCCTATGAAAGGTGATGCTAGGAGCCTGAACGATGGTGGCTTCCAACCTGGATCTACAACTCACCCACTGAATGACTCTGAGCAGATCATTCTCGAGTCTCGCTTTCTGTCCTCTGGATTGCCCCATCAGGCTGCCGTGAAGGTCAAGGCAGTTAGCTTCTATAAACTGCCGGCCTTCGGGAGCCTCTTTACAAACGGCCCCTCTTCTTACCTCTTCCCTGGGGCTGACGTTCCCAGGCTGCCAGTCCGGGAGTCGAGGCAGAAGGGAGGAAGTGAGGAAGCTGGCTGACTGCCCTCGGTTCCCACCAGGCCTGGGAAATCTGTGGGCTGAACTGCAGCTTGGGTTGGGGGCCCTACTGGCCTCTCACTGGAGGGTTGATAGTCTGGACGCACAGACGTGGTGACAGACTTCTGCGGGAAACCGTTCTTAGCCGACGGTCTGTTTATCCTTCTGACCTGTCAAAAGTAAGAAGACGGCTCCCGTCGACTCCACCGGTCAGCATTTAGCTGACCTCTCTCTTGCTCTCTTTTTGTTTCCACAGTTTCCTGAATACAGATCACAGAGGGCTGGGGGGATGATTGGCTCGAAGACCTAGACCCCTCTAAAGGGGCTTCTGCCTTTCCTTGAGGACTCTGAACCCCCACGAGGATCTGTGGCCGTGGAGCCTGGAACAAGCATGTCTGGCCACCTCCAAGTCCTTCCTCCCCTCTTTCCCTCCTCCCAGAACCACTGCATCTCCGAAAATCTCCTTCTTGACTCAGTGCCTCCTTGGCTTCCCGGGGAGGCCCAGAGAGACTACTTATCCAGTGGCATCAAAGTGTTGTTTTGTGCAATATACTGCCCCGGGGAAGGGAGGCGAGAGCACAGAAGAGGATGAATGGCGGCTTCTTCTCCAGCCTCCCTTCAGCTGACCCGGCACCTCAGAGGTGCCGGTGGGGATGATCTGGGCTGTCTGAGCTGATAAGCCCAGCTGGGAAGGGTCCTGTTCAGCCCTTCCGCCCAGGACTTAGCTTGGAGAAGCCATCCATGCACGTCCTATGGTAGAGGGTATGCATCAGAGCTTTCCATTGCTTCTGTCTTCCTTGATGGTCCCAAGCTAGACAGAGGCCAGACGCTTACTCGTCCCTTTTAGCTCTGAGATTGAGAGGGGTCAAACCAGCCTCCACGGTGGTCCTGCCCAGGGCTTGGTTGAGGTCGCCACTCCTGGGCCTGTGACCACATGTGACCAAGAGAAGTCCCCTCCCCCCAAGCCTCCCCCCCTTATTCACACGGGTCCCCCTGACTCTGACAGGTACTATTTGTGGGCAGTGTAGACAGCAGAGGGAGCACCAGGCTTGGGCCTCCTCTGAGCCAATGCCAAAGGTTGCGGCTCTCAACTCGGAATCATTCTTGGTTGCCTTTTGTTTTCTTCTCTTTCCAAGTGCTCAGCACTTTTGATTTCTCCTTCAGAAATTTCTTCTTCCCCGCTCAGACCTACCTAATGTGTGGTGCTGTGGTGAGTGGGTCTTCAGCAGTTCCAGCCTGTTGGAGACCTGGTGCTTATGACCTACAAGTGAGGATCCTGCTTCAAGGGTCAGCCACTGGATTTCCTAGGTGGTTCTCGAGAGTGTCTCAAGAGCATCGAACCTTTATTTGCCATTGTGTTTTGTGACCTCAGCAGGGCGAGGGTCTTACCCTCTACTCCCTGATGGAAATCTAAGGTAGGTCCTCAGGGATGGCAGCAAAGGGGGCAGCACCCCAGCGTGTCCCTAGGTCCGGTCACTGATTTGAGGCACAATCATTGCCCTCTAAGCCGAGAGCTGACCTGTCTCTAGAGATCTGTAGAGAAGCAACAGTCAACGGTCTTGACGGAACAGAGTCTGAGCTGGGAACACCAGGATTTTTGTCATCTACTTCCCTGTGTTCTTTCTACTGGTCACTGCCCTTATCTGACCTTTACAGGAAGAACTTGGAGCAGCTGGGGAAATGCCACTCCAATGGGTACTACCCCCCCCAACCCCCACCCTGGAGCAGGGAAGGAAGGCTATGTGGTGCTCTGCTAAAGTGGATGACTTGTCACTGGAGATGTTCTCTGGTGATGGTCTCCCACCCCCAGAAGGGTGCTGTGCTGCCCCCACCTCCTGCAGTGAGCCGTTGTTCACTCTTGAAAACCTCAGTGCAAGGAAGAAGCTTGAGCTTTCCCTCCCAACCACCAACCCAGGGCCCCCTTACAGTTCTCTACATACAACAGGTGCTCAATGGATGATGTTCTCGGGTTTTAGACAAGTGGGAGATTTGGCATATGCACCTGGGGGCACACATGGGGTGGGTTTAGAAAGATCTCAGGAAAATGAGGCCCTTTTCCCTCAGGTAGTCTGATATTCATGCCTCTGATATTCATCCCTCTGATATTCAGACATGGGCCCTGGTTGATCCCCATAGCCAGTTTCTACCTTCCTTGCTGCCTGATTAGGTCAGGGGGCAGCCTTCCGTGTAACTGTGTTGCTCCAAACGCCCCAGGCCTCAAGGTTGGGTCCCAAAAAACTAACGGTGAAAACACCCTGGCAAAAAAAAAAAAAAAAATCACTCTTTTACCCACCTGCATGTCTCACAGACAGTCCTGTGGTATGTCCAGCTTTTCTCCCAGACATGAGGAGATCGAAGGCTCTGAAGTGAAAATGCCACAGCCATTAGGGCTGCATGAGCCTTTCGAACCTGAAATCCAACCTCCCTGCACCCATACCGGAAAGAGCGCAGGGCTGTATTTTCTTGTTTTTCTGTTTTTGTCTTCTGTTATTTTAATACCACCTCCATCCCATAAAATTGTACTGTGAACTGGAAGAAGGTCGAATTTTTAAAATTTGATGGAGACTTTTGGCAGCCCGTTCTATTTACGGTTTCACTTCTGGCTGTGTTCAGCGACCAGGAGTCGCCATTCTGGCAGGCCGGGGAGCCTGCCCGGGAGCAAGAGTGGCCCCTGAGTGCTCCCTTTTCCCTCCTGTGCCCGTGCTGCTTGGAGGTGACAAATAAAAGCAAATACGGCCTTAAGAGGGACGTTATTGGAAAGGATTACTGCAAGGTGGGGAAAGGGAATTTGTAGTCCGGGCAGGGGCTCTAGCAGTAGATTGGATGCTCAGGTGAGCTCCTGCAAGATCTGCGAGCATCTCAAAGCTCAGAAAGAAGGGGCCTTTTCTTTGATCGACAGAGTGGACTTGGCTAGAGAGAACTGCAATTGGGGCGTCATTGTGCTCAGCCTCCCAGGGAGGGGGCTGCTGGGGGGGGCGGGGGGGCTGTATGCTGGCTCAGGCTGAGTGTAAGTCCAAGTTCAGAGTCAGGTGGGGAGGAGAGGAGCCCAACTAAAGCTTGGAGGAGTTAACCAGCCCTTTGTTCAGATGGAGCTGGATATAAATCTTTTTAAAAGCTAACTTAGCCTGCCAGTTTGACAACCCTGGAAATGTTTTTCTTAAGAACCGGGGAGCCATCTCTGAAATGTAAACCTCAAGGGAGCTAACACTTCTGTCTCCCTGTCTCAGTGGGAGTTTTATCCCAGGTGCCTGGCTCCAAGCTGTAACTACCTGCTTGCCATCCATTCTTTTTAGCCTTGTTGACTTCTCCCTATAAAGGCCCTTTTCTGCCTCAGCTCTGAGATGCTTGCAGATCTTACAGGATTGGGGGAGCCCCTTGCTGTCTCTTGCAATAATCCTTTTGAATAAAACCTCCCCTTGCCTATGTCCAAATTTGTTATTTGGCAAAGGGTATGGAAGACTTGCATATTTTACACTGGGGACCAGTTCAAAAGTCATGATTGTGTTAAATGTGCATATAACAGCTCTGCTGGACACCCAAGGGAATGCCAACTGGAAAGGTGCCCCATCCCTAGGGAAGCTTGCTAAGAGGGGTTCTGCAGAATCCAAGCCAGTGTCCCCAAAGTCACCCTCTGTGCACCCTCTCACACCATCCACTGTGTGTGTATGTATGTGTCTGGGATCTAGGGCAATGTGAATTTTCTTTTTATTTGGAGATTGTTCACGGAAAACAGTTCCTCTTCTCTCTTGTCCACCTATTAATTGTTTACAATATTTGTACATCTATGCAAAATACTTGAATGGGCCATGGTGCCTTTTTTCCTTGTTTGTATTTAATTAAATTGTCATTTGAAATGTCTGGTTTGGCAATTCTTTATTTGTTTGCTTTAATCTCCCGCTGCTCACCCTGGATAGGAGCCACCTGTGAGGACTCCTCATAAGAGTTCCCACAAAGACCGTCAGTCCACCTGTCAGGCCCTAATGGAAGACCTGAAGCCACAGAAAAGCCTGGGTTTTCCCATGATCAGTCGTGGGGGCTGTTTGTATTTGTACCTGGACATAGGCTGGTCTAGTTTAGTTAGGTCTTGGGTCACTAAAGGCAGGAATGATCCTGAGATTCTCTGCTATGTTTCTTTCCTGCTACACTAATGTGTTTAGGAGACAACCGAGATCCTGTGTTCGCTTCCTCATCCTATTGCTAGGTAAGATGCACTTCAAAGTGGGGAGAGACTTGCTCAAGGTCTTTTGGGCTGGGTGGGCAGATGCAGAGCCAAGGCTAGGGTTGGGTGGGCTTTCGGACTCCAGAGCCCTGCATGATAACAGCTCACATCCATTGGTGCCTCTGAGTTGCAAAAGGACCTCACCCTTATTGTCTCATTTGATCCCCACCTCAATTCTAAGGTTCTCTAAGAGAGAATTATAATAACCATGAGAGGAGGTAACATTTACTGAGTATTTAACATATGCTGGCTTTGTAGCCTACTTTCTTTATGTGAATGATCTCATTGAATCTTCACAAAAGCCCTGGGAGGTCTTTGGTATCTGATTCTATTTTTCTAACTTCTCAGGGTTTTGAGATTGCCTAAGGATTTCAAAGGCATCAAACACAAATGCTTTACTACAATGCCTGCTCATGAAATTAGCCCCTTACCCAACACCCCTACCTGCTTAGCACCAGCATCTAAACTAGCCGCTAGTCCTAGACTGGTCAGCAACATAATGCATAAAGCCTGGATGGACAGACCTGGGTCCACGTCCCAGCTCTGCTGCTTACTAGATGCGTGAGAGTGGATGAGTTCCAGAACCCTGAGGCTCTTTTCGCTACACCGCGGGAATAACACCTCCCTTAAAAGTGCTGTGATTAGGGGCGCCTGGGTGGCTCAGTTGGTTAAACCGCTGCCTTCAGCTCAGGTCATGATCCCAGGGTCCTGGGATCGAGCCCCACATCGGGCTCCCTGCTCATGCAGGAAGCCTGCTTCTCCCTCTGCCTGCCGCTCCCCCTGCTTGTGCTCGCTCCCTCTCTCTCTCTCTCTCTCGCTATCTCTCTCTGTGTGTCAAATAAATAAATAAAATCTTTAAAAAAAAAAAGTGCTGTGATTATCAGGGAAGTGCTCCACGTGATAGCACCCACCTGTGCCCGGCACAGGCCAAGGGCTCAGAAACTGCTGACCGCGACAGTTTTAGAGTTGCTCTGCTGGCCATGCCCGGGGTTCATTAAGATCTGCTCTGAATCCAGAGCTGGCCCCCAAGAGAGTTTGGGCAAAGAAGGACTACTGGAACAGCACTGTTCCTTCATTCAGTAAATGTTTTTATGAGTACCAACTATGTGTTGGACATTGAGAATAAGCAGCAAATTAAGACCAACTCCGATGGGGCTTCTGTCCACACCGGGGAAACAGCGCAGAGCACAAGAAAAGAAAAGAACAAAGTAACGCCAACCTTCATTTGGCAACCTTTGGAGAGACACACTGCCTGGTGGTTAAGACTCTAGGCTTAGATTCTTCTGGCTGTGTGACCTTGGGCAATTACTTAATCTCCCTGAGACCCTTTCCTCATATATAAAATGGAGATAAAAAAATGTATCTACCTTGGGGATTTGTGAGGACTTAAGGAATTCACATGAAGCTCTTAGTACTGTGCCTGGTTCCCAGCACGGGCTCAGGCATTAACAAGGGATGAATATCTTCAACGGACTATTCCCAGAACGGCCTTTCCCACTGCAGTGAGGGTGTGTGGCGGCGAAAGCTACCGGAGGGACTTACTTGGCAGCCACAACCCTCCAGGGATTGGGCACCAGCCCCTCAGCACCAGACAAACCAGTTTAATTGTTCCGTGTCCAAAGAAGGCCAAGACACAAATATCAAGTAAACACACTCAGAGGTCTTTATTCTTGACCCTGCAGACCACACTCTCAGGGCCCTTAGATGACTGCCATTCTCAAGATCCAACATGTTGCATTGATTTTAGTTACAGACAGAAATCCACATTCATTAAAAACCGGGGTTTTGAGGCTGGAGGTGCAGGAAGCCAGTCTGTGGGTCAGCCGAGCCTTTGGAGCTTCAAGACCAGCAAGAGTCTGGCCTGGGTTTGGCTGTGCTTAGGGCCTGGGACGTCAACACAGGACACAGGTGCAGGGTTATACAGGGGAGGCTCTGCATCCACCTGGGACGTCAACACAGGACACAGGTGCAGGGTTATACAGGGGAGGCTCTGTGCCCACCTGGGGGCTGAGGACCAAGCCTTCCCTCTTTACAGATATACTGGCTCTCTTACTTCCCTTTCAATGGTCCTTCAACCAACTCCCATACTCTTGGAGCTAGAAAGAAGACAAGAAGGAAATTCTCTCTCTCTAGCTGCTCTTGTGTTTTGAAAGCTTCTGGTCAAATGTGAGGGGACTGAAGGCAGTCCCCAGAGCGGGTGGTGGTGGAACAGTCATGACCTGCTGCTTCCCAGGGCGGGGAGCTCATCAGTGGGACTGGGGGCTTGGGGCCATCTGATCAACAGCCAGACTGCACCCCATGCCAAGCCTACACCCCATTGGTCACTAAAATTCAAAGCTGATCCCACTGCTCAGGCCTCCAAGGCTACATCCTAGAAATTACCCGGAGCCCCTTCCACCTGGGTTCTTGGTTGGGCACCAGAGTAAACACAAAAGTTAGCCCCAGGTTTCTAGAGGGCCTATGGCTGCTCTCTGCCAAATCCCGACATTGCTCCTCCTTCTCCCCATCTCCCCAAATCATATTTTGGTTGACTCCTTGAGGAAAAGGAAAGTGCGTTCTGCCAAATTCTATCTTGACAGCCAAACTACTTTTAAGAGCAGTGCAAATGCTTGTTCTCTTTCCAGAGCGAGGCAAAATGAAACACTGGGTTGCACCGGGAGAGCTTGGTTGTGGAGGATCTCTTGTTGTTCTTGTCATTTTGTTTTGAGTTCTAAGGTAATTGCCCGACTGTCTCAGTAACAACTCCTTTGGCGAGAGAAAGAGACGGAAGGGGCAGGGATCGGGGCAGAGTGGACAGAAACTAAGATGCTGACCTCCAGGCTGGAGTGCTCGGGGAATGGGGTTGGTGGAAATGTTCCCTGAGACATCAGATGGTTTTCACAGTAAGAAGGTCAGCTGAGGTCATGCTTTTGTCTCCAAAGACCAAGTGGCAAAAGCAGCAGGACGTGTCACATTAGTTGTCAGCTCTGGATGGGGGGGCATGATGAATTGCTGTCTGGGCCTCTGGGAACCCGCTGTACTTCATCGTTGGGCTGAGAAATGGGATTCAGTCTCAGGAGAACCAGCATCCTCAGGGAAGGTCTTGGCCTGTGCTACATTCAACGGGTCAAATTCTCTCTTCTTGCCAACAACACAGCAAGGGCACTGAGGAAACAAGTGGGAAGGGAGGTCCAGGGGACCTGCTGACACCCACGTATTTGGTCACTGAGGCTGCTTCCACGAAGTTCTGCCACCACCACTCACTGGGTAGGGACTTTTCTTCTGGAAACAGTGATGAGGTATAAATGAACATCTCAAGAAAAGAGAGCCCATTGGTAACAGGGCTGGTGAAAATAACCAGGTGCCTCTGAAATGGAGAGGTCAGGCTGTACCGTAGAGCTCATCTTCTCACTCATGGATTCCAAGCTTTAAGAGTGGATTATAAATACTTTGGGCTTCTCTTCCGGTGATGGGGTGCTGGAGAGTTCTATATTGTCCACAAGGACATTCTTGTCTTCTAGTCTAATGACAGTGGGCTCAGGGGTGGGAGAGGGGGTTGGGTTTTTGTGCATGTGGGGCAAGCTGGTCTGGCTGAGGTCCAGGTCTTTGAAAGCATGAAGCATGAACACACCCAGAATGATGGTGACAAAGCCAGAGAGGGTGCCCACAATGTCCACTGCAGACATGCTGTACCATTCCTTGAAGAGGATGATGGAGGAGGTCACCACCACCGTGGTGAAGAACACATAGTAGATGGGGAACACCAGGGAGGTATTAAAAATGTCTAGTGCCCTGTTAAGGAAGTTGACCTGAGTGCTGAGAGAAAGTGCCAGGATGAGGGACAGGATGTAGGGGAGGGGGTGCCGCACAACTGGCATCCCCTGGAAGAAGTTCTTAATGGTGATGCCCAGGCCCTTGACGGCAGACACGGAGAAGGCTCCGATCACAGAGCAGATGATGATGTAAACGAGGATGTTCCTTTGTCCATAGCGCGGGGCAATGACGAAGATTAGAATGAGGCAGAGCACCAGCAGCAGCACAGCAAACACGAGGTACCCTTCAGGAGGGGTGGGAGATGGGTAATCTGAGCCGCAGAGGATGCAGTTAGCTTTTAGAGCCCTCTAACCACGGTCATGGGATATAGGAGCAAGGACTTGGGCTCCAAAGTCAGGCAGACATGGGTTCCAGGCCCACGTCACAACTTTTTAATAATTTGGGCAGGTTATTAATTAACCACAAGACCTCCATTTCCGTATTTGTAAAACAGGCCTAATAATAGGACCTTCCTCACAGATCTTTTTTTGTGGGATTAAATGAGATAACGCACGCTACAAGACTGCGTCGTCCCCCCAACCCGCGTTAATCCCCATGTGATGGTATTTGGACACGAGGCCTTTGGAAGGTGATTAGGTCATGAAGGTGGCACCCTCATGAATGGGATTAGTGTTCCTGTAAAAGAGACCCCAGAGAGCTCCCTCACCCCTTCCACCGTGTGAGGACACAGAGAGAAGTTGGCCGTTTATGAACCAAATCTACCAGGGCCTTGATCTTGGACTTCCCAGCCTCCAGAACTGTAAGAAATACATTTCTGCAGTTTACAAGCCACCCAGTCTGTGGTATTCTGCTATAGCAGCCTGAACAGACGAGGACAATGCATAGAACATATTTAGAACCGTGCCTGGCACATAATAAACACATGATAAATAACATCAACACACACCAGCCTGGGAAGCCCCCCCGTGAGCTAACCCTAGGACCAGCCCCCCCACTTTCCTTCTTTAGCTTCCTTCTCCTCCAGGTGGCAGCACCTGGCATGGTCAGCCCCCGGTTAGACCTTCCCTGGGGTTCATTCCCCAGTGTCTTCCTGCTCACGGGGTGGGGGGAGCCAACCTGTGTCTTTCATTTTGGCGGCCATCTCAACGACGGTGGAGACCTTCTCTTCCTCGGGGGCATGTATCACCATCACTGTGCTGCCGGCCACACAGATCACACAGCCCAGTTTCCCCAGCAGATTCAGACTCTCTCCCAGGAAGTATGAGGACAGGATGGCACTGCACGAGGACACGGGAGAGAGGGTTTGGCAGCCAGGCCTGTCCCAGCGCTCTGAAGGAAAATGGGGGCTGAGCAAGCATTCGTGGAGAAGAACAGATCAGGACTCACTCCTCTCCCCCGAAAACGTTTGAAATAGAGACTTATTTATGGGAGGGTTACAGTGTGTGCTGGAGGAATCGACATACTTGTGGATTTCTTTCACTTCAGAGACTAAAGGGATCCCCAAACAGAAGAGTCAGAAAAGCCCTTCAGGGCATTCTTGTCTAACTTCCTACCCAAAGAGCGCATCTTCCCTTAACATTACGAACAGACTGCTTTCAGGCTTGGCTTGTATACCTCTGATGGCAAGCAACTCACCCCTTCACAAGGTAAATGAATCTATCGTAGGTTCATTCTAATTACCAAAAATATGGTAATTTCTACTCATTGTCCTATTTCTATTCCTTGAGTCGTACAGAACAGAGCTATTCCTTGTTCCATTTGTATATGCCAATATAAACAACCGCAATGACAATTACAGGCACTATGCCTTGGGCTTATATTATGGACTAGGTATTATGTTAGGAATTTTCTACTTACTATATCTCACTAACATCTCACAACTCTTTGAGAAGTAAAATATACTATCTCCATTTTATAGATGAGAAAACAATCTCATAGAAGTTAAAATAACTTGGCAAGGTCATACAACTGGTAAGTAGCAGGGCCAGGATTTTAGCTGAATTTCTGTCTAATTATAAAACCTATGCTTTTTCCGCTACACCTCATTAGAATCCCGGTGACTTCCCTGAGTTTTCTCTTTCCTGGGCAAAACGCCTCCAGTTTCTTGCTATTCCTTGGTGATATGATTTTCATTCCCCTCACCTCCTCAGATGAGGTGGCAGAGGTGCGGGAAGAAGGGAAGGTAATTGGGCAAGACAGGTGTGATCACAGGGCAGGTTTCTGTTTCTTTGCGAAGGTAACCTGAGCTTAGGGTAAAAAGCAGTTGGCTGATCTAGGACTGAATTACTCCCCAAAATTCTGGTTTAAGGTATCGAGAGAGGGGATTGATGTCCGAGCTCCTCTGAATGTCTTCCGTCTCTCCTCTAAAACCACCAAAAACATCTGCATTCAAGAGAGTCTGGGGGCATTGGCATAGGCAGAGGTCACACAGTGGAGGATTCCCCACCCCTCCTAACTGTCTGGGAGTGGGAATTTGCACAGCAGTCGGATATGCCATAGTACTATCTCAGCTGCATCAAGCCAGCTGTGTGATGTGAGGCATGCCTCTGTCTACTTTCGATTGGGTCAATGTTACAAAATTGTCATCAAGAGGACAATAAAACAGGGGAAACTATGGGTACTGGGTGTGGTTCGCTGGGATTTACCAAGGCTCCCAGGTTAAGCCAATAATCACAGCCAGCTTCAAATGGGGCTCCAAGACCCCCACGGAGGAACTATGCTTATAGTTCAAGAGGAGTGTGGCAATGGGAAGCCCACCGAGTCCTTGAAGCAATGCCTTCAGGTAGGGATTATTAGCATCCCCACTGAGCAGATGGGGAAACTGAGGCTTAGGGTAGTTAAGTGACTGGTCCATGGTAATGTAGTTACTAAGCGACAAAGCTTAAGGTTAGAGCTCATGCTTTTCAACTTGTATGCCGCGCCTACTGACACACCAAAACGTTGACGTGAGACGTTCAGCTTGGTGGCACTGGAAGCCCTTCCAACTGGTCTGGGCGTTGGAGGCCTGCCCCTCTATTGGCCAGTCGTTGGACGAGATCCTAGAACAAGAGGCAGTAAACAATCCAAGGCTCGGGAGCTCTGGCCAGTAGAGTGCCTCTTTCTGGGAGCTGGGACCGACCCAGGTCCCTGACTGCAAGTGGCAGGTGACCCCACTCACAGTTCCAGACCTCAACAAACTGAAAATAGGAAGGAGGCAGAGATAGCAAGAGAGGTGACAATAACCTTATGAGAACACTCAGCGCTCCCAGAGGCGTGACGACTGTCGCAGGGGCAAATGCGTAGGCCCCGAAGTTGGCAACTTCTCCAGCAGCCACTAAGAAATGAAGGGAGAAAACAGGCTAGTCTGGCTTCGATGCACCATCTATAGCCCAAATTAACCTGGGCATTAACAGCTTCATTTAGTGATCAGCCATTCACAGAATCTCGGGCCCCACATTCCCTAAAGTCTTGGTCCTTATGCTTTCCCCCTAGCGAATCTGATCGGACGGTCAGGCCCAGACTCTCCTGATCAAATCCTTGCATTTTAAAGATGGGCAAGCTAGGCCCAGAGTCCAAGGTCACATGACATGTTTGTGGAAGGACGCCTTCCTGTTCCTGCGGCGTCTTGGCTTCTAGTCCAGGCCACGGTAAGTGTACCTCAGGGACTGCTCATGTTTGGTCTGTATCTTAAGGTGCATTCTAGAAAGTGTTAATTTCCAAAAAAAGAAACATTTAGTTACTGATTCTCCAGGTACCACTTGGTCGTGAGCCATCTGTCCCACAGGAACTATGGGCAGGTGGTTAGAAAGTCTTACGTCTCCACAGGGCCTAATTCTCCACATTTGAGTTTCTAGTTTGCAGACTCCTGCAAGTGCATTTTCTGTCTCTGCTGGTAAAGAATGACCTGGGTCTACCCTTTGAAAGGACAGGATGAATGTGGTAGCCCTGGCTAAGACTGGGATCAAAACCTGATTTATAAATGGAAAGCTGGGTAATTTTCCATTTGGAAGAATTAGGGTTTGAAAGCCAGCGAGGGTGGATGGAAAGCAGGGGAAATGTGTGAATGTGCAAATCTGGGCAAACTTTAAGTGGCAGACCAGCCATGCTCTAAGTGAACCAACACACTGCCTGTGGAATGGAAAACCTGGCTAAGGAGCCCCAAGAGACTCCAACCGGCAGTGATAACTCTTTCTGTTTCCAGGGAAGTTGAAAAATGATACCTCTATCATGAGCAGCTCTCTACAAGCCTCTCTGGGGATACATGTTTCATGGATTAAGGACTGACTTTGGGTGGAGAATGTGATCTGAAATACAGGGAAGATGTTCTACCTGCGAAGATTGCCAAGGTTTTCCCACTGAGATTCACACTTTGCACAATGAAGACAGAAATGGTCCCATTCACCCCTCCTTCCATCTCTGCTTCTGCCATCAATGGGTCAGTATTGTTAGGAAAGAGCCCACTTACTGGTGAGAAATCCAGCCCACCACATGGCATCCTTCAGGTAGCCATACCCTCCGTCCACTGCAGAAAGGAATGGACAAAAAGTTAGAGCTTGGCCATGCTTTCTCAGGCACCTTTCCCATCTCTACCTTCACTCGCCAGTCTTGAAGGGTTCAAAATATGTTCCCCGTGGTTGGTCCTCTGGGCGTGCCTCTGGGTCCCCTCCTGGGCAACTTTATCCATTCCCAAAGTTTCACATACCATCTTTACGCTGGTGTCCTTATTTCATATATGTGTACTGAGCCTTTCTTCTGAGCCTAGGTGAATGTCCAATTGCTTACTTGACATCTCTTGGAACTCTCACAGGCATCCGAAAAGCTGTCCTAAATAGAACTCTTGATTTTAAATGCCACCCACCCACCAAAGGAAATTCAGTAAGTGGTACCTCCATGTACCTAGTTGCTAAAGCCAGAACCCAGGAAATCACCCTTGACTCTCCCACTCCTTCGCCTTCTGTGTTCCATCCATCTTGCTGTTTCCCCCTCCGAAGAGCATCTCACACGTGTCTGTCCCACTGCCACCACCCGACCCCAAGGCATTACCCCCTCTGGCCTGGGGTGAGCCAACAGCCTCCCCAGGGTCAGCTGGGGCCACTCTCACCATCCCTTTATAACCCATTCCCTCAGAGCAGCCGATGGTCTTTTAAGACTGTAAAGCAGACTGTCACTCCTCAGCTTGTAACAGGCCAATGGCTTCCAAATACTCTATAAAAGGACCAAAATCCTAAACAAGCCAGTTCATAGGTTTGACCATGTTCACATCTCCAAAAGCATCTCTTGCCACTCTTCTTATCACTATCTTGCCACTCAGGCTTTCTTCTAGTTCCTCCAAACGGATGAGCTCTTTTTGGCCTTAAGACCTTTGCATTTCCATGTCAGGGATGGTCTTCTTGATGATATTTGCTTATATCTACACTCACTCTTCAGGACTTTGCTTGAATGTTGCTTCCCCTAAGATGCCCTCTCTGACCCCCTTATCTCTGTTTTTTGCCCTGCTGGGATTCTTTCATCACCAGCTCTTCTCCTTCATGGTACTTATTTATAATTTGAGTTAACGTATTTATTTTGTGGCATTTCTCCCACTAAAATGGAGATGCTAAGACGCCCAGAATTGTGTTTGTTCGGTTCACATGGTGGACTTTCAGACATTTGTCCAGAAGTACAGGACAGAGCAGCCAAGACCATTGCTCCCGACTTCCTCCCCACACCTCACAACTCTCCATTTCAGAGGGCACCTGACTCTAGACCTGGGCATCCAACTGCCTGCCGGGCCCTCCCAGTAACGCCAATCCTCGTGTTGACTCTGGGCCAACCAAGCCTCTTTGTAAACACACTACTTATCTTCACAAGAATCCTAGTGGCTGGAACTGTTCTGAATCCCATTTTACAGATGAAGAGACTGAGGCACAGAAAAAAAACCACTTCCCTTGCACAGGATCACATCACCAGGAACGGAAGAGCTAGGATTGGAACCCTAGGAGTTTGCTTCCAAAGCAGTGTCCCACAGAACTCTACATTGAACGTGTCCAAACTTGAACCATCATAGTCCCATAAACCTGCTCATCCTGCATTCTTCATCTCAGAAAACAACACCCTCATCTCCCCAGTTGCTCAAGTCAGAAAGCTGAGTCAGTCTCAACTCTGTTTTACCCTCCCCTTGGAGCCAGTCAATACCAAACCCAGTAAGTTCTACCATCGAAAACTACCTCTGGACTCCACCACGGTCTCCATTCCCACAGCAATTCCCCCAGTCCGAGTTGTGCTGTCTCTCTCCCCTAACTGGTCTCCTAGGTGCCAGGCTTGTCCCTTAATCCATTGTCCTCCAAGCAACCAGGAATCTTTTCAAATCGTCCGTTGAACTATGTCTGTCCCCCGCCTAAAACCTTTGTCACTTACAACTGCACCCAAACTCTGTGGCCTGGTTTATAAGACCCTTCATGATCTGGCCCTTCCCGCATCTCTTACCCCCCACCCCCACCCCCAGCCCCATGTTCCAGCCATCCTGAGCTACTTTCAGCTTCTACCATCACTCACGCTCTCTCACCTCAGAGCCTCTGCACAGGCTGTTCTTTCTGTCTGGAACGCCACACCCTCCTCTTTTCCCCTTCACCTGGCCATCTCATCAAGTCCCAGCTTCCAGATCGCCTCCTACAGAAAACCTCCCCTAACCTTCCAAGCCTGGGCCCTCCAAAATATCCCCCAAGTGTCCTGGATTTTCTCCATGATGAAGAGCACGCCAACCACTGTGGAACAGTTGCCTGTGTCCCCCACGCGGCTCAATGCCCCATGGGGCACTGGGTCCCCACGTCCAGCGTGGGACCTGGCACAGCTGGTATGCAATGAATGATAATTAAATGAATGAATTTTTTTACACGCAATTCCTTTTCTCCAGGGTGGGTTCATAGAGATACACCTTCTTTCCAAGCAAACAAATCCTTATGGACAGAGACTCAGGAATTCTTTTGTGGCCTTGAGGGGGGCCTCTCTGGGGGTCCAGGAGGGCACAGTGGTGTGTGACACTGCTCTGGGCAGAGGTATTTGTATTCCCATTTAGCTTGCCCAGGATGACAGAGCGGGTAAGAAATAAAACTGGACTAGATCTGGGGTTTCTCATTCTTGGCCCTGAGACTTTTCCTTATCTGTACTCGAATTAACATATCTTGAAGTTCTCTAGAAATGTTGGATTTTAAAGGGAGGTCTCCTGCGGGTGGATTGGATTCCCAGCAGGGTTGACAATGAGCCTTTTGTGACCATGTAGGCCAGGCTCTCTAGCTGTCGCAGAGGCCCCCTTGTGAAGGGAGGTTCATGGGGCTGGCTGGGGGCTCGGCTGCCTAGCACCCCACACCCGCCCTCCCTGCCAGGACCCTACCGGCCCGTGTGGCCCCAGAGGCCACCAGTCGCTGAAGGCCTTTCTTCTTGAGGATGACGCTGCTGCCGATGAGGAAGCTAGACAAGAAGGCCAGGCCCAGACCAGTGTAGAAGCTATAGTTCTGCCTGAACCTCTCCTTCCAGTCGTGAGAGGTGACATTGCTGGGCACCTGGGGGCTGAGGTCACCGACGATCTGGCACACCACTTGGTGGGAGGAGCAGTACAGGCTGATCAGGGAACCTGGACGGGAAGACCACCATAAGAAAGTCACACTGGGGACATCTGCATGCTTTCAAATACTGGAATTGGCTACTGGTTCAGACCCCACAGTTCAGCTGCAGTGGGCCTCCATCCACACCATGGGCCTCAACCTAACAATAATAGATAACATTCACGGAGGGCTTACCCCCAGCTAGGGTTTTATTTGCATGAACTCATCCAATTTTTATAACCATCTGTCAGAAAAGTGCTGCCTTGAGTTCCCATTTCACAGATGGGAAAGAGAGGCCATGAGAGGTCAGGCACCTCGCCTAAGAACACAGACTATCTGACTCCGGAACTCTAGCACATGACCACTAAGGTGTACTAATGCCCCACCCCAAGCAGGGTCTTCCAAGCTCTCAAGCATCACTGAATCCAACCTCCCACCCTTCCTAGGCGTCCCCTCCCAGCTTCTGGACCTCCAACAGCTCAGGATCACACAGGGATTCCCCCCTCCAAGAGGCCTCTTCACTTCCATATCCTCACCTCTAGCCGCAACGGAGACTCCTGACGGTTAACATGAGGGAGTGAGGCTCGAGAGCCCACAGCCCCCTCTAGGCCTGAAGATAATTAAATATAAGCAGCCCACTGGTTAGAACTGACCATTCCCAGGCCTTATTCTAAGACCTCTGATGCCCGTGGTCAGTGGCTGGGCCCTCCTTCAGGCCTCAGAGGGATTGCTGTTCCTGCCGCCCCATGGAGCATCTCTTTAGTTTGCCTTCCAAGTCCTAGAGATCCTGAGGGCCCAAGTCAGCCCTCATGCCCCAGAACCCGCCAACCCTTGCTTGCCCTCTGGCACAAACGCTAAGGATAATAGGGCAAACTTGGGCCCGAGGGGTAGACCCTCGTCAGAAGAGCTAAGCTGCCCAAGTTCAGTAAAACCACGCACAGCAGAGCCAGTAATCCCCCAGCGCTAGGACTGCATGCTCCTCCACTCTGGGGCTTTCCATGAGCATTCCTATCATGGAAATGGCACAGCGATCATGTCCAGGCTTTAGTGGAAGAGGCCGGGCCCTGATAAGTTTGGTAAGCTGAGTAAGACGACACTGGTGGTACACAGTGAAGCCAATTTGCTCCCAAAGCCCGCGTGATGCCAAAGCCATGCACTTAACTGCCACCTACACCCCACAGGGCAGGCAGCAAGGGCAGGCTGGGGTTCCGTTGGCCTCTTGAGGGTTGTTTTAAACTATGAATTCATTACCAACATTTAAAATCCGATTTCCCATGAAAATTCAGCTTTTGAGCTGCCTCCGTTTACCTTATCGAGCACACCTTCCCAGAGCCAACCACTGACTGCAGATGAGAGTGGCTGCCCCCACAAAAGGACATGCTTTTGCAATGCCCCGGAGTCCCTATCTGCTTCCCTTCAGTCATTTTGGTTATATGCTCAGCCCCTGTAGGCATCTGAGTTTGTGACCTCTGGTGGTAGAAGGTCTTTTTCAAACTGGAATTTCAAAACTCAGGGCTCCTGTGCCAAGGATGTAAGCCTGGGCGGCACTTCTCCTCAGAGCAATGGGAACTACAGGCAGTGGTAGGTGGGCCCCAAAGGTCATGCAGCTCTGGCACTGGTGTATCTGGATCATAGAGTGGCAACTGGGTGGAATAAAGTAAGGGCAATGTTGACCTTTCTTCCATGGCACAGAAGCACAGAAGAATGGTACTGGGAGAGCCCCGGAAAGACAGTCTGCCTAACCCTCTTACTTGCAGCCAGGAAAACTGACGCCCTGAGAAGGGGAAGGACTTGCTTGAGTCTCACAAAAACCTAGTGGCAGAGCTGGGCCTGGAACCCACCAGGGGACATCCATGTGTCTTGCCATGGGGGATCTCTCTTCCTGACACCTGCCTCACAATCAAGAGAAGGTGAGACAAGAAGCCATCTCCATCCCTACTCAGATTCGGTCTGACCGCTCACTCCTGTTCCTCAGCTCAGACCGTCGAGTCTGGGGAGTTCCCTGAACACAGGAAATGAGCCAGAGCCAGGACATGGGCCAAGGAAGGTGACTCCCAAGAAGAAGGCCAATCCCATTCCTACCCCCTTCCCCTGCCCTCCTGAAGGTGCATCTCCAGGAGGTGGGGCCAAAGGGTGAACTTGCCTGTTTTGGGGAGGCCTGAAGCACCCAGGGGTGCAGGAGCCTCCACTGAATTAAGTTTTCCCATGAAGACAGAAAGAAAAAGAGGGAGGGCTGATGGCCAAAGAAACTCCAATTCTGAGGAGGATGCTCATGAGACAAATGGGTGTTGGGCCCGGTGATTCCCTCTTCTTTCCCAGAATACACTTGGACCGGAGAACGTATTCTTCCCCAGGGGAAGGTGAGGCTGAAAATGGACTGCATTGTTGGCCAGGAAACCAAAGCCAGCCAACACCCACAGAGCTGGCTTTGAACACTTCACTGGGAAAAAGAAGTTACAGAAACAGGGCTGTCAGCAGGCTGCCATTGCAAGAGGAGGTAGGAACATGCAGACATACCAGGAAAGGAGTACAGTCGTATGAGTACAGGTTTGAGAATCCAAGAGCTCTAATTTCATATTCCACTCCCCCCACTGCAGTAGCTTAAGCAAATTATCAGGCTTTTCAGAGCCTCTGTTTCTTTCTCTCCAGAAAGGAGACAGTAAGGTAATAATACCTATCTGCCCTCTAGGGTTAAGGGTTAAATGAGATAATGCAGGTAAAGGGCCTAGTCTACCACCCGGTTCCTAGTAAGAACTCAACTTAAGCTCAGGGTCTTTCCTTATCCCTCCCTGGGTTGTTCTTTCCCACCTACAAGGTGCGAGTGGGTTTGGAGGTGGTGAATGTCTGCGCCCCTCTCCCTTGTTTTTGGTGGGCCCCAGGAAGACAACCAGACCTGGGCAGGCGTGAGAATCTGAAGCAACGATACCTAAGGAACTACGGTGAAAACCCCCACCTCTGGCTGACCAGCTCCGATTAATTATGCCCGCCGAGGCCCCCTCCCTCCCCACGCGTCCCCTTTCCTCCCAATCCCCCTCTCAGCTCCCCAGCCCCGAAGGTGGGGGAAGTCAGCCAGAAGCCTGCTCCCCGCCCCGCCCCCCCCCAAGATGGGCCTGACCACAGGTCGCGCTGACCCAGCCCTCCCGGGTTTGGGCCCCCCGCAGGAGCGGACGCGAGGGAAAGGAGCAGCGGGGAAGGGAAGGCGCGAAGCGCGCGCAGCACCCGGGGCCCTCGGGCCCGCACGCACCGTTCTGGCAGCTGGTGTTGCTGGCGGGCAGCTCCATGGGCCCTGGGCGCACCGACCGACGGACCGACGCGCGGGCGGCTGGCGCCCGGGGCTCCCCGGCTCCGGAGCAGGTGGCCGAGACTCGTCCAGGCGTGGCCGGCGTGCGAGAAGCTGCCGGGGTCGGACCCAGGGGTGGAGAGAATGACGCGCCGCAGAGGGGGACGGTCCCCGGGGAGGAGTCACCCGGCGTCTCGGTCAACTCCCCGGGTCGGGGGCCCACCGCCCGAGCTGCCCGCAGAGGGGCGCACGCCCTCCCGGGGTGCGGAGGCTGCCGGGCTCCCCGAGAGGGAGTCGCCGCGTCGCGCCCCCAGCGGGAGGCAAGGAGGGGGGTCCCCCGGCGCCGCCGCGGCGCGAAACGCCGGGACTGTACCCAGTTGCGTCCGCAAGGACAGAGTTGATGGGTCCCGAGAGGTGGGAGAGGGGGAGATTTTTTGGCCGAGGTGGAAGTGGGAACGTGGGGGTTGGAAAAGGCACTGCTGCCAGTTGGAGCCCTCTCAGGCGGGGGTGGTGTCGGAGACCCTGGGTTTTTCCCTTCTTGCCTGCCTCCCCGCCTCCCTGCCAACAGGTCTAATCTGTTCTGGGCACTGGTATACCACAGGCACACAGTAAGTAGGTGCCCATAAAATAGTCAATATGTCTATGTGGAATGAATGGATGATAGACGCTTGGTAATGAATGAGAGAAGTATATTTCTTCTTCCAAGCGATCGGAGACCAAAATGGGTTAGACATATTCTCTGTCTGGAGAACCTTATATATTAATGAGAGAAACAAAATGGGATTTACTATCTAGAAACTGGTGTCTTCCAAATCACCATGAAAAAAAAAAAAAACTGTGGTTATGGAAAGTATATTGGCTACTACAGGTAATAGTAAAAATAAATTAGAGAAACCCTATCTTGGACCATAAAAACACTTGTGCAGTGCTTGCTATAGGCCAGGCACTGTTATTAGTGCTGAAAAATCCCCGTTCATTTAATCCTCATGACAACCACATGCAGTACAGACTTTTATTATTTACAGAAAGGAAACTGAGGCACAGAGCAATCAAGGAACTTGCCAGGTTTCCCAGCTAGGAAGTGGAAGAGTGAAGATCAAGAGCATGCTCCCAGCGGCCACACTAAAATGGCTGGCATTTAGACTGAAATACACTCCTGCTCCTGGGTAGCAAAGACATGGGACCACCAAGAAAGCAGTGGCCAGTTCCAGCAATGGTGGTCACTGACCTCCTGGAGGAGGTAGCTTTTAAAAATAGTTACTTATGGAGTCTTCACTATGAGACAGACGCTGTACTAAACCCTATAGAGGGGCGCCTGGGTGGCTCAGTTGGTTGAGCTTCCAACTCTTGGTTTTGGCTCAGGTCATGATCTCAGGGTTGTGAGACTGAGCCCTTCTTCAGGCTTCGTGCTCAGCTCGGAGTTCACTTGAAAGATTCTCTCTCCCTCTCCCTCCCCCTCTGCCCTCCCCCCTGCTTGTGCTCTCTTTCTCTCTCAAATAAATAAAATCTTTAAACCCTGTACAGACATTATCTCATTTGGTAGATACCATTACCATCTCCATGGTACAGATGAGAGAAAACTGTGCTTAAAAAAAACCTTATGGTTTTAAAATAACTTTAGATTTACAGAAGAGTCACAGAAATGGTACAGAAAGTTCCCATATACCTGTCACCAGGTTCCTCCTTAATGTTGACATTTTGTATAGGAATAGCAAAAGCCCATATTTGAAATACTCTGAGAAACTTGCTCCGGAGGTCCCACAGCTAGCGAGGGCACCAGGAGTAAACAGGCTCTGCCCCCTAAGCCTGTCCTCCCCCCATCACTCTCCACCCTCTACACGTAGAGTATAATACACTTCTAGCTGGGATACAAGAGATGGGTCCTCCCAGCGTGTGGCTTCCCCTAACTTTCTGAGTGACTTTAAACAAGTCACATACTCTCCAGGAGAAACAGTTTCCTCATCTGTCAAATAAGAGAGCTCCTTTCTCTCTTTCTCTCTCTCTTTTTCTCTCTCTCTCTGTGTGTGTGTGTGTGTGAGACCATGGGTTTGGGGGCAAGGTGGGTAAGGTAGAGCTTAGAAGGAAAAGGAAAATCATAGGTATTACTAATATTACACATCCAAGTTCAAGGGGCCCTAATGCACCCAGACCTTCCCCTCACTTTGGGGGGATGTGGCACCAGAGTTCACATGGAAGTGAGTACCTCCAAGTCCAGTATGAATTGGAACACAGAGAAGCCAGAAACTGGGTGATTGGAAATGATAGTTCATTACGGAAGCATCTGTGCTACCTGAGACAGAAGATCAGACACGAGAATTTAATTGGCCTTTTCTCTTACCTAAGCACTTCTGCTGCTCAGATCTAACACATGCTACAAAACAGCATCCATCTCTGAGGCTGGCAGAAGGGCCGTCCTCAAACACTCACTGCCTTCAAACTCGGATTGCGTTTGTTCCAAGGACACAGAACAAGAGATCTGTGGTCTTTATTTCTGGCCTGGGCTTTTTTAATCACAGGAGAGGATGTTTAGATCATGGTCACATTGCGCCAGAGCTGAGCCCAGATCTTGAGAGACAGATAACCACCTGTGTTCTTTAATATATATCTTTGTGGCTGGGCTTGTGATTGGTGGGGCCGCTACATTTTAGGGTCCCGGGCAGGGCTCCCTCGCCCTGGGTTAAGGGCACTACTGCCTTCTCCCTGTGCTTTGGACAAGGCTTTTCGGAGTTAGGGGAGTTTCATGTTTTAGGGCAGTGGGCTGAGGGGGAAGGAGCTGGGATCTACTGAAGGGCCTTCCACACCCTCTCTGGGCCTCAGGCTCCCCATTTGTTCTAGCAGGAGGCGGGGCTTCCCCAGGGCTGGCATCAGCATCCCGGGAGTGCAGATATAATGAGCCCCATTGACCCGCAGTCTCCTGGCCTGCTGTCCTGACAAAGCCCTTTTCTGCCCAAGCCACAATAGCACTGTCAGGCAGGTAGCAGGGCCTGCAGCATTGTCTCCCCAGAAAGGAACAACAGGGTTCAGTGTCTGTCCCAGGCTCGTCTGTCAGGGGAGGGCGGTGACTTTGGAAGGGTCTGCCCAGCCAGAGACAGATGGGCTCTGTCCTTAGCCAGCCAGGCTCTGGTGAACCAGTCACATCTCCTGTGGCCAGTTATTCCTGATGAACAGGAAAACTAATTTACCAAGACCCAAACTCCTAAAAATGTGGCCCTTCTAAGTGCATGTCCGAATGTTTTATGTTCTAGAACTGCACTGTCCAATATGGTAGCCACCAGTTCCATGTGGCTATTCAGGATGTGGAAAGTGGCTAATGTGAACTATGCTAGGTGTATAAAACAGGCACTGTGACTATTTTGGGCCACATAATTGTTTGCTGTGGGGGGCTGTCCTATGCACTGTAGGATTTTTGGCAGTGTCCCTGGTCTCACACCAGTAGCACACACTGCTGACCATTCCCAGGCTCCCCTGGTTGTGACAACCAAAAGCATCCCAGACAATTGCCAAAATCTCCCCAGGTTGCAACCCATCCAGATTTCAAAGACTTAATAAGAAAAAAAATGTAAGCTATTAATAACTTTTTAGTACTGATCACATGTTGAAATGATAATATCTTGGTTAAATGAAATTTACTACCCAAATTAATTTTCTCTCCTTCTTTTTACTTTTTGTAAAGTGGTTATAGAATGATTTAAAATTATATGGGGCGCCTGGGTGGCTCAGTCGTTAAGCGTCTGCCTTTGGCTCAGGTCATGATCCCGGGGTCCTGGGATCGAGCCCCACATCGGGCTGCCTGCTCAACGGGAAGCCTGCTTCTCCCTCTCTCGCTCCCCCTGCTTGTGTTCCTTCTCTCGCTGTGTCCCTCTCTGTCAAATAAATAAATAAAATCTTTGAAAAAATAAAATAAAATTATATAGTGCCTCACATTATATTTCTATTGGACATTGCTATTTATAGAGGACTTGTTATATGTTAACATGCATAGAAGTTATCTGTATATATGTATATGCATGCTCATTCAATCTTTGCAGCAATCCTGGGAAGCAGGTTTTATTATTATCCCCATTTTCCAGATGAGGAATGAAGGTCAGGAAGGTCACTGAGCCTGTAAGTCGAGAAGCCAAGAATCAAACACAGATAAATTTTTCAATACTACACATGCTAAGTGTCCTAGGTCTAGTAACATCCCACGGGACTTGGGTAGGTTACTTCCCCTTCTGGCATCTTAGCCCAGGTAGAAGGGCCGGGCAAGATGCAGGCTGTGGTCCTTTCCAGCCCTGCAGAGCTGGTTTTCTGGGCAGGGTGGGGAAGGACAGATGGCTATTGCCTCCTTCAGACTGCCCTGGAATCACGGGAATCCTGTCTGTTGGCATGCAGAGGTTGACCACCTCTCTTCTTTGGGTGGGTCTCCAGGATGGCTACTGTTCTCATAAAAAAAGCTTTGTTGTCACTAGAAAGAATACTTGGAACGGTCACAGGTGCACTCAGACTGGCTCTGAGCACATGCCCAGGGATGAGTCCACATGAAGCTGGCATCAATCATGATGATTAAAACAGCAAGCAATTATGGACTTCTTCCTCTGTGTGCTAAGCGCTGTACAGGCATTGGCTCAAATCTGGATACCATTTTAGGTCCCATTTTACAGATGAAGGAACTAAGGCTCAGAGAGGTGAAGTGACTGTACCAAGGTCACACTCAATGGTAAAGACAAAACTTCCAGCTGGGCTTGTGTGTCCCCAGAGCAGCTCTCTTCACCAAAGCCCTGGTTTAGGGAGGTCAGAGGCTTCCTCCCAGACCTCTTCCTGGCCCTGCTCTGTATGGGCAGCTGGGAAGACTGGGGCCATCCAGAAGCCACACGGGCGGCCACACAACCTTCAGAGTGAGAGCTGAACTATCAACCCTTTTAGTCTGCCGATGGGGAAACTGGGCCTGGAGAGGGGAAAGGTCACACCCAACATCGCTGCTAATTTGTGGCAGAATCAGAACTTTACTGATAATTACTCCAACCCCAATCCAGCACTTTTATCTCCCACAATGCTTTCTTTATAAGCAGAAAGGGTTGACCTTAGGGCAAATAATGAGTTATTATTTTTGGTCACTTTTTAAGGATGAGCCAGTGCACCAAGGATTTCACACACATTGTCCCATTTACTCCTCACAGTAAGCCTCTGAGTCAGGTGCTGCTATGATTGCTGTTTTAGAGGTGAGAAAACCGAGACTCGGAAAGGCTAAGGAACTTGTCTGCAATTAAACAGTGCAGCCAAGATGAAACCCAGCAGACTGATTCTAGAGCCATTTCTTGACCGCATTCCTCAGGCTTATCACACTGCATTTAGGGGATCCCCTATCAGAGGATCTGACCACAGGTGGAAGACATTTCAAATTCCTACGGAGGGCAGAGCTCGCTGGGAGGAATATATTTGGAAGTGCAGCATTGCTTGGCCTTGGTGTGGATGTGCAGAGAGCCTAATGCACTTAATTCATGGAAAAGAACTTCAGATCTTATAAAAAACGAGCTATCCTTCACATACTACTAAAATGAACTATTGCTGCGCAGGTTCTCTACATGTATTAACTCTGATCCTCAAGGCAGTCCCACGAGGCAATGGAGTTACCCTAGTTTTACAGCTAGCCGATGACAGAGAGAGTCTGGGAGGGCTGGTGGCTTGCTCAAGGTCACGCAGATAATAAGTGGCTAAGCTGGGATTTGAGCAGGTCCTCAAAGCTCTACTTCAGTCTCTTCCTCCTTCCCTGCCTTTTGCTCATCTGAGTCACTGCTCAGGCTGGCAACTCAAGGCAGGGGATCTGGGGGACCATAGTGATGCTCCTCTCCTGCACCTGTTTGCTTGTGGGAACATTTGTTATGTGGGAACAGGGAGGGCAAGGGCATAGTGCGCTCCGTGGCCAGAGGGAGGCCTGCTTTTAAAGTGGGAAGAGTCACCTTGAAAAGGAAGGACAAACTTAGGCTCTGTTTTCCCTTTTGAGTTTTAATAAATTAACCCATCCTAGACTTTGATATCTGAGAGGTGGGTATTAAAGGGTCAGGTGATGTGAGTTCTAGTCCCCATTCTGCCACTAATATACTGGGACCAGAGACAGGTCCTTCCCATCTGGGTCTCAGTCTCCCCAATACGTGCAATGGAAATGAAGGACTAGAGAGTGGTTTTTAAAGCTTTTGCTTTTTTTTTTTTTTTTTAAATGAGATGGGGGTAGATACCAAACTTTCTTTCCCAAGGAGAAAGTTAAATGGGAGGACAACATACACATGTCCTTTAAGAGGCACTTCTTTCATTGACTCAGGGCAGGAGCCTGGAACCTTGTCACCTCGGCCTCCATGTTGTCTCCCCACTGCCCCTTCCCCTGCAGCAGCTACCGAGACATCCCCCACCCATGCTAGGACTAGGAAGATCCCATGTTGATAGTGGGGGGCCTGTGTGGCCTCCTGAAGCACACAGTATTTGCATCTTATGGGATGCTCCCACAGAGCCTGTTTGGGGTTCAGAAGAATGGCCAGAGACTTTACTGCATGGGGAGGCTCTTGAAGTGATGCCTGTGGGCTCAGGA